AGAAATAGCTGTACAGATTTGTAACTCAGAATTGATCAGGTGTTGTTACTGATACCACAGTAGATACACAATATTCTACAAGATTAGCAATTCAAAAACTGTTGATAGACTTGGTTTAAAGTTCTATTAAACCTAGGCCTTAATGAAAAATACTCGTAATCTTTTTCATATACTAACTTTTAATCAAAAAACTTCATTTTCTATGTACATATAAAAAAGTTAATCTTTAAGTTCTGATTCTGTATGATTCCTGTAGCTGGTTGATCATAACTGGTAATGCATAACTTATTATAGATACCACACAAGGAGAGTGATCACTGTAAAGTTCATGCTCAGCAAGTTTGAATTCCGTGTTTCTGTTTGGAGTAGATGGAGAGATGCTGGAGTAGATAGAGAGATGCTGGAGTAATAGATAGAGAGATGCTGGAGTAGATAGATAAGATGCTCTATCTATATTCATTACTTGTTTTCTGTTGATATTAAAGCTGGATTTAGTAACAGGTACCGTTCCTACGTTGGTTTTCTGTTGATATGGTAGTTTGATTTAGTAACAGGTACTGTTCCTACATTGGTTTTCTGTTGATACAGTAGCTGGATTTAGTAACAGGTACCGTTCCTACATTGGTTTTCTGTTGATATGGTAGCTTGATTTAGTAACAGGTACCGTTCCTACATTGGTTTTCTGTTGATATTTTAGCCTGATTTAGTAACAGGTACCGTTCCTACATTGGTTTTTTTTACAATGGTTCAAATTTTTTTAGTTTTTATCAAAAGTTTTAGATAGGATGTATTTACCTTGAATTTAAAAACAGGTAGTAAAACAAAACCCTTTCAGATATTTCAAATGTTGAATATTTTTCAATCAAGTAGGTTTAGAAGCTATGTCTATACTCTGAAGTTAGCCATATCTTTCATCTTAGATGAAGACATGGAGTGTTTATACTGTCTTAAATGAATTTGAAATAAAATTAGTTTTTTTTTGTTAAGCCTTGATCTATTGTGGATCACATCTGTTTTATAACGAGGTTTTCCTGGCTCCCTATCCTTTTCTTCGTATCATCCCTTGTCAGTTGATTTATCATCTACCTTAGTTCTTATCCCTCTGTGTTTCTGTCTTTCCACAGTATCCCTCCCTCTAATAACAACCCCCTCTCCCTCCCCCTCACCACCAATCTCTATCTCATTCATCTATCCCTTGTACATGTTTCCATCCCCTTCTGTACCCTCTTAAGAATGTTGGTGTAATGATGGCTGACTGGTTTGTGTGTATGATTAGAAAGATTTTGTATAACAACCTGAGATTTCCAGGCTGTCTGACGAGGAACAAAGATAATGCGAAAAACATTTCCAAGAAAAATGTGTGTGGGTGTTTTATTGACATCTCTGCTATAGGATGTTTACACGCACCCATTTGCTGCATGTAGGTGTTTATGGGACGTTGATACAGACACTGTGGAGAACTCCGAACTGTTCAATAATTGTGATTGTGTATGTACATCAGATTTCCATATGACATCATTATCAACAGTTGAGGCGGACAGGATCTTCATTAATTAGAGATCTTGGATGTTGGCAGGGTTCTTGTAAAAGGAACTAAACAGACTAAGGCTGTCAAGTTCTTCAGTAAATGAATTTGGATATTTGCAGTCCCAGTTCTTGTTAATGATAGAGAATTACGGCGTATACAGATCTTCAGTAAAACAGAAATGAAGGCTTCTTAACGTCCCAGTTTTCTTCTTAATGGTGATGGAGATGAAGTTGACATGTTTTGACTGCAGTGAGGTGATCATACAGATCTTCATTGAGAGATCTTATAGATATTTTGAATGACAGAATGGTTTTATATGAACAAGAAGAATTTAGGCTAGCTCACAGCTATAACTCTTCAGTAATAACTATTTGATCTTATGTATTGGCAGGGTCCATGAAAATAAGGCTGTTGTATAGATCTTCAGTAGAGGTCTAAGATATATGCAGGTAGTTTGTTTGTATATAGAACAGGGAAAATGAGGTTGGTATTTTTAAGTTACAGAATAATTGAGGCTGCTGGTTAGATCTTCAGTAGAGATCTAAGATATATGTTGGTAACGTGCTTGTATATGTGGTAGGTATTTAGTTTATGAATCAATTAGAATCTTTTTGGCTGATGTAGATCTTCATTAACAGATTATGGTTGTGAAAGATTTCTTGTGTGTGTATATATATAATTATATAAGAATTGGCAATGCATTCCAGTGAGGAAGAAGGGCCGAGGAACCTAGTCATTGCTAGTACTGGTTTTGTTTAGAAATATCAGCACTTGATTGAGATCTTATACAGGTATATTACACATTGTACATAAACTTGTGTATGATTAAAGAGTACTTCTGACCTCAGGCTAACACAGGTCAACTTCTGATGACAACATACAAGAGTGGCGTAATTTCTGTTGTCGAGTCTGCCCACACATTTCCTCCTATACAGTACAGTTTAGGTAGACACATATTTCCTTCCTGGCATGTAGATATGTTTCTGCAGCTACGATGTACACACCAAAATATTAGCAGAGTGAAACATTTCTGGACATTGATATGCAGAAATGTTAATATTGATACAAGTAATTTGATTATCGTGATTGTATCGTGGTATTAATGGTCATTTTCGCAGTTTATTTTTGTTTGATATTGACAAATTATCCGTCCCCAAGAAGCTTTTAACGTAGGATGTGTAAAACTCTAATGTAATGGACAACCCATAAAAAAGTCAATGGAGATGTTCATTACTCAACAGATTACATGTGAAGCGCAATATCAGGAGTTCTGACGTAAAATCTCGGGATTGTTTTGTTCGCAGAAAATCAAACATTTATCACCCTAGTGAAGAATCCATGAGTGAAATTTCATGCTCGATGAAATGAAATCAGCATTGATTTGTGAATGGCGTCATAGCAACAAATTACAAGGATGGGAAGTTTCTGTACATATATTTTAAAAGTTACATTCAATAACAAGTATTGTAGGGCTTCTGATAGTTGGAAAAATAATAATGTACGAGGAAGATATTTTTTTAAGTTAACTTTATGAATAACAGCTCTACTGGATTTCTGAGAAGTTTGGATTTAGTACGTGTGAGACAGAGTTCTACTAGTTTGTGCTTTAACTAAAACCTCTTACTGCTATGTATTTCGGAGTTTACACATGTGTTGGTGGTTCATTTGACTCTCCGAAGTATGAAACACATGTAAGAAGACAGTACAGAAACTGTGCCCGGTAATTACAGTGTGATGGGTGAGAACTTCATCAGTTAAGACTTGGGATCCTATCATGCACTATTGTCGGTACTTCCTTCTTTGACAACATGACACTGGCCGTGTCAACAATCGGGAAAAATGTCAAAACAACTTATCTGTATGAATGTCACTGGAGTGTTGACCCTATTCCACAGGTAATTCTCAAGTATTATGATACAAATCAGAGCTATTTTGAGAGAAAATATTTCAGGTGCATTGCTTGTTTTTGAATAAATATATTTGATAAAAAGTATGTATTCTTAGTTTTACCTCATCATTATGTCTTATCCTCTTTTGATGTATTGGCCAAAATCAGAATCAGGAGAGATTGTATTATGTGAAACTTGACCTAGTTTTATAGTAGTGATGCCCATGCCCATATTAATTACGTTAATTATGTTATATAGAATGTTATTTCGTTGTCCGGTAATAAGCCCACTCACTTCAAGTTAGAAGTCATGGTATTGGCTCATTGTGGGGCTCTGACATTGGCCTACACAGATGGAGATCCAAGGTGTGTGGTTTGACACACCCAATCCATGGCAGTTAATGTTTTTTCAGAAAGTTGAGAAACACACAGATCTGTGCTGTAACTTGACCCTAATTGCTGTGATGTGATGGGCCTCCCCTTTGTTGTTCAGTAGCCACCTAAGCTGCAACAGGAAGACCTGGCATCAAAACAACCCTGACATCTCCCAGGGTGATGTAAACATATTGTAGGATAACACAAAGTAGGGCATATTATCATTGACTTGAAGTGTGACTTGATAGTTTGTAGAAATAACATGTAGTATCTATTTAGGTAGAAATCACAGTGAAAAGTCTGTGTTTCACACAAATTTACCCTAGGAATGTGTTATTTGTTATTGTAGGGTGATCTAACACCCACTATTTCTACTCGTGGAATGTGTAACTGTTGTATTGTCCTGCTCTAAATCTTATACCACTGTTGTGTGGGGATGGTATGGCAGAGATATTATAGTAACCTCTATAGGATGTGATGTAAAGAATGTCAGACCTGGCTTGTAACCTGACACACAACAATTACTGAAATTTACATAAAAGTTTTGAGTGACAGATTAACGTCATCGTAATGATCAAATGAATATTAATGAGTTCATAATGTGCACTCATTTCTTCAGTGAATTTGAAGGATAACATTTGGGTCTACACATCAAGCCTGTGTCATATTAAGGTTGTTAGAACCAGACTTTACTGGTTGTTTCTCTAAATCAAAGGACATCTGGACGTCACATTGAATTATATTCTGTTTGTCACAAAGTTTCAATTTAATTCACATCCCTATATTAGGAATTACATCATATATTTACATCTTACTAATGAACCTGTTGAATTTGATTGACACCTGTATATATTGGATTACATGTTATACACAGAGAGTCTCCATTTCATGCGACCAACATGTGTATATAGAATTATATCATATTTCAGATTTCTCTCTCTAATTGACGTGTGTATATTGGATTTTGTCATCCACAAGTTTGTTATTGAGAAATACGACAAAATATTGGCTGTCTCGATCTTAATCTTTTTAAGATAGATGTAACTGTTTCTGTGATTGTTACTCAAAATCTACATCACAGCTACAGATTAAATTTTCAATCTTTAAAAGAAAGATGAATATTGTCAAGGGCCATAACCCACGTTGTAAGTAAATATTTCACCATATGACTTAACAACAAGTTGATGTGACTTTATTATCTACCTACAGCCTAACGGGAATGGTTACCCTGAAGGACATGGTCTGGTTACCATACGGATGATCCCAGATGAACAGGGGCGATTCGGGTTCAATGTCAAGGTGGGTACACTGAAAATATGTTATAAACTTCAGAAAGTTCAGAAAATAAACATATCATAACTAGGAATTTATCAGTGCCTGGATCATTGACCTTATAAAGTGAAGATTCTTTCTTCTAGGGAAAATGAAAAATGTTCTACAAAGCTTGTTGATACCAAAATTCTGTAATCCAGATAATATCTGGAACCAGAAAGTTAGTGATATAGTTTATTTTATACAGTCATTGAAGGAAGATATTTTGTTTTGATATCTTCAACAACACAAATCACTGATTTCCTGAATTTTTTACGGTTTACATAACTGTAAGGCCAATGACTAACTTCAACCTTTCACTTGCAGGGAGGGGCAGACCAGGGCATGCCCATTATTGTATCCCGAGTGGCTCCTAGCACGCCAGCAGATCTGGCCATTCCTCGTCTAAATGAGGGAGACCAGGTCCTTGTGATCAACGGGCGGGATGTTTCACAACATACGCATGAACAGGTACATGTATAAAAAAGGCATTTACAAATGTGAACCATTTAATATACATTAGGTCATATATGTATGATGGTCCCAGTGATGTTTGTGGACAAGTGTCAGAAAAATTGCATCACAAAGAAAAAGTCTTCATTCATGCAAATGTTCTTGAAAACATTAATTAGAAGCATTCTCATTGGGCTCTTATGTTGTAGGTTGTCATGTTTATTCGGGCCTCAAGAGAAACACATTCAGGGGAGCTGGTTTTGATCGTGCGGCCCAACGGTAAGTTGGTCACCTTCCCACCAACCTCGGCCTAAAAAGCTCACAGTATTCATGTCTGAATACCTTCCTACATATCAAACACAACTCTACTTGTGAAAATACTTGTGAAAAGAAAATGAAATTCTTTTAAAAGAGTTTACTTACAGATGAAAAGAGAAATTAAATTCCCATTTGATTATTGGCAGATTTGATCTAAAGGGCAAGTTTTTATTTGCACGATTTTGCACTAGATGGCTGTCTGTCATTCTGGTACAGTTGCAATAACGTCTTTTAACTTCAAATATGCTTTAACAGGTGTTTGGAGGTATACTTCAGGGTCTAGCTTGAATGTGGAGCAATTACTTAAGGGTTAAGGTTTGTAGGGCCATGCCTCAGGGTTAAGGTTTGTAGGGCTATCCTGAAGGGTTAAGGTTTGTAGGGCTGTCCTTAAGGGTTAAGGTTTGTAGGGCTATCCTGAAGGGTTAAGGTTTGTAGGGCTGTCCTTAAGGGTTAAGGTTTGTAGGGCTGTCCTTAAGGGTTAAGGTTTGTAGGGCTATCCTGAAGGGTTAAGGTTTGTAGGGCTATCCTTAAGGGTTAAGGTTTGTAGGGCCATGCCTCAGGGTTAAGGTTTGTAGGGCTATCCTGAAGGGTTAAGGTTTGTAGGGCTGTCCTTAAGGGTTAAGGTTTGTAGGGCTATCCTGAAGGGTTAAGGTTTGTAGGACTGTCCTTAAGGGTTAAGGTTTGTAGGGCTGTCCTTAAGGGTTAAGGTTTGTAGGGCTGTCCTTAAGGGTTAAGGTTTGTAGGGCTGTCCTTAAGGGTTAAGGTTTGAGTAGCCATACTTTATTGTATAGGTTTGTAGGGCTTTACTTCAGGGTTGATATCTGTAGGGCTGTACTCCAGCATTAAGATTTGTAGGGCCAGACTTCAGGGTTAAGGTTGTAGGGCCAGACTTCAGGGTTAAGGCTTGTGGGGCCAGACTTCAGGGTTAAGGCTTGTGGGGCCAGACTTCAGGGTTTAGGTTTGTGGGGCCAGACTTCAGGGTTAAGGCTTGTGGGGCCAGACTTCAGGGTTAAGGTTTGTGGGGCCAGACTTCAGGGTTAAGGTTTGTGGGGCCAGACTTCAGGGTTAAGGTTTGTAGGGCCATACTTCAGGGTTAAGGTTTGTAGGGCCATACTTCAGGGTTAAGGTTTGTGGGGCCAGACTTCAGGGTTAAGGCTTGTGGGGCCAGACTTCAGGGTTAAGGCTTGTGGGGCCAGACTTCAGGGTTTAGGTTTGTGGGGCCAGACTTCAGAGTTAAGGTTTGTAGGGCCATACTTCAGGGTTTAGGTTTGTAGGGCCATACTTCAGGGTTAAGGTTTGTAGGGCCAGACTTCAGGGTTAAGGTTTGTAGGGCCAGACTTCAGGGTTTAGGTTTGTAGGGCCAGACTTCAGGGTTAAGGTTTGTAGGGCCAGACTTCAGGGTTTAGGTTTGTGGGGCCAGACTTCAGAGTTAAGGTTTGTAGGGCCATACTTCAGGGTTAAGGTTTGTAGGGCCATACTTCAGGGTTAAGGTTTACAGGACCATACTTCAGGGGGTAGGTTTACAGGACCATACCTCAGGGGGTAGGTTTACAGGACCATACTTCAGGGGGTACGTTTACAGGACCATACTTCAGGGGGTAGGTTTATAGGACCATACTTCAGGGGGTAGGTTTACAGGACCATACTTCAGGGGGTACGTTTACAGGACCATACTTCAGGGGGTAGGTTTACAGGACCATACCTCAGGGGGTAGGTTTACAGGACCATACCTCAGGGGGTAGGTTTACAGGACCATACTTCAGGGGGTAGGTTTACAGGACCATACTTCAGGGGGTAGGTTTATAGGACCATACTTCAGGGGATAGGTTTACAGGACCATACTTCAGGGGATAGGTTTACAGGACCATACTTCAGGGGTATGGTTTGTGAGGTCTTGTATACAGAAGTTACCATGTCTGTTTTACATTTGTTTCAATATATTACAGAGTTCATTCTACTTTATAAGCTAAATATTTCATGTTAACCATGATGTCAATATCACATCAAAGGATATGGAGTGCTATGTATATAGATCAAGAAGTAATGTTCAATTCAGGAAACATTGTTTAGACACTTAAAAGATTAAATTGATATCATATTTACATGAAATTCCAACCATTTCATTGACATTAGTAAGGAGAGTTATATATCTTTCTGTATTCTGGAGACACTAAGCAGTAAGGCTATCTTGAGATAGGGAAAGGATTGGGGAGGAAGGGATGGAGACAGAGCAGGGTGGGAAGGAGGTGACTGTTGTAGGGGATAGTATGGAGGGAAGGTTTTAGATTGATATAGATTTATAACGAGAATGAGATGGAAAAAACATATTATTTTTTTTGTAGGGGGAGAGGGTATGACTTTTGAAAAGGTTTTTACTAGTTATCAGTTTGGGGAGGTTGTTGACTGAATTGAGTTTGGAAAGAAGAGTGTTCCGTTACCTGTGTAGAAATGTGTGGAGCATGCCTGTGCTCAGTAGCTAATTGCATTTCATAATCTGAAGGATTATGGGGAGGCGTTGGAGCGTTGAAGGGTTTTCAGATCTAGCTAGCTGTCACCGAGGTAGTCGCGTGCGTAATCCCATGATTTTGTCTAATCGGCAGTGTACTTGGTGACCGAATGTGATTGTGTTATGTACAGCACTGAAATGAAAGGAATTTCCGGTTAAAGAATTCAGGACATTTATAGAAATAATGACTTAGATTAAGACTGTCTTCAATGATCTGTAACCTCACAAATGGTACAGTTTTTGCCCTTTTGTAAATCAAAATGATAACATTTCAAAGGATCTCAAGTAATTTTATGATTTTCCTTTCAGAAATGTTACTTTTTATATTTTTAAATAAATAATGATGAAAATTTTGTATTTTAGAGACTAAATTGTGATGAATGTTTTTTTTAAAAGTAATGTTGATGTAGCGTTTATTTCATTTTCATTCATGACTTAACATGAAGATCAATCAATAATTTAAACTTGACATTGTACACTAAACATGTCACATACATCAAAATATAGGGCCACTGAAGTATCGTTATATTATGTGATGACTCACTTTCTACTGATAATGGATAGAAATTACAGTTTTCTGTAAAATCTGTGTATTTAACAGTGGAGGCGGGGAATACTCAGAAATGACTTGAAATATAGAGAAATGAATTAGTTGCCTTCATATCTTGTATTGTAGGGGCAAAGGGAGTAGGGAAAATCTAAATGTCAAAAAAAACATGGCCTTTTTATTGATTGTTTATCTATTACAAGTAATTTGTTGGATTAATAAACTTGTCTTGACATTTTTCATTGGCTGATCATCATATCACAGATATAGTTTATAGGGAGATTGTAATCATCCATGATGTGAGATTCCGAAGTACGTTACATTGTTCTTTATACCTGAATGGCTTTAATCTTGGTACAGCTTTAATTAGCATCAAAGTATCTTAGCTGTGAAAAAGAATAAAAATTTTATACATTAGTATACAGGAAAAGCTCACACAGGGTCAGGATATCCCTGGGATGTTAGAACTTTCCTGTCGGACAGAATATTTATCAGTCTATAGACATGGAATAAATGGCTGTAACGTGTTACATTAAGACTGTACCAGCACAGATTTGGCATCATGTTACGTAAATTGGCTAGCTTTTGTAAGTATTTTCTTGTAAGACTGAATCAATCACTGTGTGGTGGAAGCTACAGAACTAATGTGAAATTTAGACAGGATATTTTCTGTGTATAATTATTGCAATAATTTCGTAGGGACTGTTACTTTAGTTGATCGGGTGTTTTCAATGTATATTACACCAACTTTTCAAATGCATGTAATTTTGGTTTATTAGCGTACTATTTCTCAGAGTACTGAATGCCATTAAGACACTGTTGCAGACAATTTTCCATGGAAATCATAGAAAATGTACTGCCCAGGTCTTTTATTAGTCACCTGCCGGTGAAACCGGAGGGGACTATAGTGTTTGTCTCCGTCTGTTCGTCTGTCTGTCCGGATGTTGGTTTCCAGGTGATAACTTGAGAACAGATTGATGGATTTGGATCAAACTTAATACAATGGTAGTTGATAAGGCAATATAGAGTGAGATTTTGTTTGGGGTCAAAAGATCAACTACAAAGGTCACTGTTACTAAAAATAGAATCTTGTCACAATTTAGTTTTCAGACAATAATTTGAAGACGGATTGATAGATTTGGTTGAAACTTGATACACTGGAAGCTTATAAATAATAAAACAAGACACTTCTGATACAGAAAAAGTTCTACATTACTTGAAAAAATAATGTATTTATACTGCAATTAGATCATGGGCCAACATATAAACTCAGATCCATAGTAAAGGGTTAGCTTATTGCAAACAGTTAAGTAGCATTTGCTCCCATTTGCTTTACAACAGAACATTGGTGGGCTTATTAGCAGACATGGGCTTATATGCTGATAAATACAGTAATTTACTGCAGGGGACATGTGTTGCATGCAACACTAACTGTAAGCTTGTAGTTTTATAGCAAGAGGATTAAAATGTTGCTCTGGCAGTGTGAGTTATACATGTAAGCAAACCTATGTTTAAGGATATAAAACTGGTGATCCTTGTGAAAAGCAGTTCAACACTCCACACATTTATGTTTCCTACATATATATAAAAATTACTCTATAAAAATTCATACTGTGTAGACAGTTTCTTCATAAATTTGTTTTATGATAAAGAGAAAGGATGTTGACTACACCTAGAGCAGGAGAGTATTTACCCAGGTTGGAGTTTATTGGTACTAGATGTGTACAACTTCCTGCTGCCAGTCATAGAATTGTTGTATTTAATACACTTTCCTTTGTACAGACTTCCAACCACCTGCTGTGCTATTAGGGGAATGAGGTTCAAAATATTTTGAAAACAAACTCCTCCACTTCCTGTTTTTTTAACACTGTAGCCAAGAGAATATGTAACCTCCAGATAGGGTTAACTACAAATCTAGCTGATTGGTTTTAACACTGAAGCCAAGAGAATATGTAACCTCCAGATAGGGTTAACTACAAATCTAGCTGATTGGTTTTAACACTGAAGCCAAGAGAATATGTAACCTCCAGATAGGGTTAACTACAAATCTAGCTGATTGGTTTTAACACTGAAGCCAAGAGAATATGTAACCTCCAGATAGGTTTAACTACAAATCTAGCTGATTGGTTTTAACACTGAAGCCAAGAGAATATGTAACCTCCAGATAGGGTTAACTACAAATCTAGCTGATTGGTTTTAACACTGAAGCCAAGAGAATATGTAACCTCCAGATAGGTTTAACTACAAATCTAGCTGATTGGTTTTAACACTGAAGCCAAGAGAATATGTAACCTCCAGATAGGTTTAACTACAAATCTAGCTGATTGGTTTTAACACTGAAGCCAAGAGAATATGTAACCTCCAGATAGGGTTAACTACAAATCTGGGTGATTGGTTTTAACACTGAGGCCAAGAGAATATGTAACCTCCAGATAGGTTTAACTACAAATCTAGCTGATTGGTTTTAACACTGAAGCCAAGAGAATATGTAACCTCCAGATAGGTTTAACTACAAATCTAGCTGATTGGTTTTAACACTGAAGCCAAGAGAATATGTAACCTCCAGATAGGGTTAACTACAAATCTAGCTGATTGGTTTTGTCTTAATCATCTATTTATTTATTTAATGGGTTTATGTGAACTATTACAGCCTTTCAGAGGACAGTATGATTTTAACACTGAAGCCAAGAGAATGTGTTGACATTAGATAGGGTTACCTACAACTCCAGGAGGATGACCAGAATGTCTATGTTTCAGTTTATGTGAGTGAGGACACACCAGAAGAGCACTACTTTGAATACTTACCCGAATCTCATGTGATCACAACAACGGCTGGCGCCAATGCCCTGGACGCTTCTCTGGTACTGCTGCAGGAAAGTCTGGAAGGAGGGGCCGCCCTTGCTCAGTTTGAGGTTTGTACATTCTCTCACATCTTCCTCTGGTGACGGATTAACATGACAAGAGGAATATAGGATATACCCATTCATAATGACACCTGTTTAGCTGGCCAAATGGTTTCACTTGGAGTACAAATGGAATATCTGTTTAAAAAGATGTTGTGATGGTTATTCTTTTAATGACTCATTTGAACATATGCACAAGGCTTAATTACTTACTTACATAAATAGATGACATATATCATACACAAGCGCTGGTGATTGTACTGAACATACACAAGAATTGATGACACATCATAAAACTTACACAGCTATTGCTGACTCATTTTAACATCAGCATTAATTGATGACACACTTGTAACATACAGATGATTCAGCATGTTACTACACACATATTCCATGTGTTGCTTGTGATTTAACTTTATCTTAGAGCATTGCTTGTTCTGGCTTCGAGATCGCCATGTAATCATTTTTTAGGGTTTTTTTTTAAGTTTTTGCTTAGTCAAGCACCAGTGATGCCTCTTTTCATGATGTTATCCATATTTGGCTTAAGAAACACTTGAGACATCTTTAGATTTAAAAGGCAGCTTCATGATCATTGGGCCATGTCTAGTTTTGATTTATATTTATCAAGTACTTAAATTTAAGCAAATTTGTTTAAACATTAATTCAGTATCTCTGACAATGAAAACTTTTATTATACAATAATTTTATTTTATTACAGCAACTATACAGGAAAAAGCCAGGAATGACAATGAATGCAGCAAGGCTGGATACAAACATTCCCAAAAACAGATACAGGGATATTTCACCCTGTAAGTACAAACATTCCTAGAAATAGTTACAGGGATATTTCACCCTGTAAGTACAAACATTCCCAAAAATAGTTACTGGGATATTTCACCCTGTAAGTACAAACATTCCCAAAAACAGATTCAGGGATATTTCACCCTGTAAGTAAAAACATTCCCGAAAATAGTTACAGGGATATTTCACCCTGTAAGTACAAACATTCCCAAAAACAGATACAGGGATATTTCACCCTGTAAGTACAAACATTGCTAAAAACAGATACAGGGATATTTCACCCTGTAAGTACAAACATTGCCAAAAATAGTTACAGGGACATTTCACCCTTTAAGTGTCATTATTGACCATGTAAAATATCTCAAGTCCAAGAATAGGGCTAATATCTCATAATTTGTCAGAGAAGGGAATTTTAACTAGACATCAAAAAAGAAAACAATTAGGAATATGTAAGGAACAATCTTTTGTTAACACAATTCTGGAAATGAAGAATTTACTGTATACTATTTTCTTCATTTATACAATATAGGGGTTTCGTTTAATTTAAAGATGTTTGATTTTTCAGATGATCAAACAAGAGTGATATTAAAGTCAGGCGGTGAATATATCAATGCTAATTATGTGAATGTAAGTATATTTATCTACATAGTTTAAATTGTTTTATCTCCAGTTCAATTTTCTTTTTTAACAATTATAAAGTAGTCAGCTCATGTTTAAGATATTAATCTGTTATCAAATAATTCAAAGGTCTGATATATATTGGAATGTCGTGCTATCACCATAAAAATATAATTCTCGACAAGAGAATGTGTCTACAGAAATCAGTCGTAGTAGTTAAAATATTGTGGATTTGACATCGTATCTTGACCTTATAGAGTAGATGATTGACCTCAACCTACTTTTTTTTTTTTCAACAGATGGAAATACCGGGGTCAGGGATTGTTAACAGGTACATTGCAGCACAGGGTCCTCTACCCAATACATGTGTGGACTTCTGGCAAATGGTCTGGGAACAACACTCCTCTCTTGTTGTCATGCTCACCACCAAGATAGAACGAGGAAGGGTAGGTCAAACAAACCCCACTTCTATGTCTCATGAAAAGTTATATCAGAACACTGACTGTAATAATTGATACCGACCACTAACAAAATAGGAAGTATTGCTACCATTAGAGAAGTCAAATAATTTGATCCTCTAGTCTTCATTTGTATTATGTCAGAAAAGAGGAACTCAGTCACCATACACTTTAAACTAGAAAACTGGTTGAACGTTTTGTACATCTGTGATAAGTGTTAAAATGCTCTATTTTACCCTGTGATGTGTTTGTGAGGAGACAAAGTTTAACTTAGTTGTGCTGTTTTAGGTAAAATGTCACCAGTACTGGCCAGACCTCTACGAGACGGTTGATTATGGTGAGCTACAAATAACTTGTGTCAAAGAAGAGGACACAACATCATTCGCCTTCCGCGAGTTCAACCTCACACATTTATCAGTGAGTTATCTCCTCCTACCCGTTTGGTTTCTAATTGTATTGAACTTGGTTTCTGTTCAAATTTCGGACGTGAAAGTTTTAACTTGTATTTATAATTTTCAAACTATGTGTGTAATAGCTGTGTTAGGGACAGACATAGATCTTACATGAATTTCCATTCCTTTAAGAATAATTATTATTCATCAATATCATGTTTTTAAATTATGCTTTCATATAACTAGATAATTAAAATGTGAATCAGTTTGTGATGAATATGTTGGTCTATACTTCAGAGAAGTTTAGTATAATATAATGTAATTGGCTGTCCTACTGTTGCTCATGACTGGATTCTCTTTTGTAGACCAATGAAGAAAGACACATATCTCACATGCAATATATAGCTTGGCCTGATCATGGCGTTCCGGATGATCCGGCCGATTTCCTTGACTTTGTAGGCAAGGTGCGACAGAAACGTACAGGCATGGTAGAACCAACAATAGTCCACTGTAGGTAAGTAAACCTGTCAAAGACAGAAATGGTATTTGATTTACCAACACATTAACTGGAATTTTTTTCCTCGTAAAATATTTGTGTCTCTTCTGATAAAAAGAAGGAAAATTCAGCAAAATAATTGATGCAACTTCATCAGAAGACTAGAAAAGCATATAGGATTGTCAACAATATCTATTGGTCATTTCAGTGCTGGGATAGGACGGACAGGGGTTCTGATTACCATGGAGACGGCTATGTGTCTGATTGAGTCTAATCAGCCTGTTTACCCGCTGTCTATTGTGAGACAGATGCGAGACCAGCGTGCTATGCTGATACAAACACCTGTAAGTGAATGATGGTTTGAAATGTACATCTAGAACTCATTTCTGGTTCTGATCAGTAAAATCATTTAAAAATTCTGTTTGGGTATAATGAAAAGCTATGATTTTTTAAATGTTGTCAGAATATGTGTCTGCTGTATATTTGGCCAGTGTTATTTTTTGCTAAGTCAATATTTTCATTTTTACATAGTTGATAAATTTCACTCTGAAAGACATCAACATATTTATTTTATCAATATTTGCTCGCATGTCATTTTTCTTTTCATTGTGAAAGAGTGAAATTTGAACTCTGGTGAAAGTTTCCCATATATGTATTTCCTTGTAAAATATCACGTGTTCTCCCATAGGTTTTAACACATCTCTCCTTATCATTTCAATGTTAACACTTTAATTTTATGTAGAAGAACTGTATATTTTGAAATGAGATTCCCAGTGGTATACATTTTCTGTGCAGTACAAGCAGTATATGTGATAATTTTGAACAGGAATAGGGTTGTACTATTTCAGTGGTTAAGTCACACATCTGTATTCCTTGTTCTTACAGAGTCAGTACAAGTTTGTCTGTGAAGCCATCTTAAAAGTAAGTCATGGTGAGTATCATTTGTGATAAATCATTCTGATCAATGTCTCCATATAAAAGCACTCTTATAAAGTGATATTGCTTGGATTTTCAACCCCTTGTTTATTTAGTTTTGCACTTGTCTGTATCAAGTTTACAACTTCAGAATTTGTCAAACACTTTGTAAAATTCAAAAAGAGACATCCAGACTTGTAAACACGTTTTTAAGTGTAAAAAATACATATCACTATTTTATAGTTTTACTGATGATTGCTGGCCATTTTTTATGTTATATAATGTTGGTGTCGTGTTGATGTTTCAGACCAGCTAGTGAAACCAATGGAAGACTACCAGAGGTGAAAGTGAATAACAATGCGGGCCTATCCGCTCTTACTTACCATATCATCATCCCATATGTGGCGCCGCAGTGGCTGTGTCCCACATACCCACAGACAAGGTGCCATTCATCTGTGTGTTTCCTTGCTGGAGGTCAAAGGCCTCGTGTGTGATGGATGGTTTAATGTGTCACGGCCATTGTTGCTTGTGCCGCAATCATCAATTTCTATTCAGTGCTTTGCGTCACTGACAGACATCACAAGTAGAAGGCCCTTCTCAGATTTTCATTCTGTCTATCATTGGCAGTGGTCATCGTCGGTATATATCAAAGTGTTGTCCCTGTAACTGGGAAATCTCTCTACTGCTGGATCTGATAACACAACAACTATATGTGAGCTCATACGAGCCCAAACAATGAGAGAATGCAAGTAGTGATCTTCATCAAGTTCACTGGCTGTCAAATAGGATGTGTGCTCGTATCATCGGCTAGGTATGCCGGAGGTGTGTGTGAATTTTAACCTCAAAGTGTGTCAAAGAAATGAAAGGTTTAACCATTTACAATGCGATCAGGATAACTGTACTAGCATGACAGTGGAGCTGGATCTCTCTCCCTGTGTTGTGGATTCAACAATATTATTATACAGATTTACATATCCACATCTTGTGGAAGGGATCTTAACCTGATCCAGTTAAAAATCAAACTCGATGTTCAGCGAGACACATGGAGGCACATATTGTGTAAGATACATCCCTGATGGTGCATGGAACATTATTTATGAGAAAAGGATATTTAATATTTTAAGGGAGGGGAGATAATCTACTGATTAATGTCAATTTACATGTAAAGAATCATGCATGTAAAGGGAAATAACTCTCCACAGCATTTGATTAAGCAGCCTACAGTTGTGCTGTCTGTAAGTGTTGATCTACGGATCTGAAGTTTTAAAGCAATTACTTCAATTGCTGCTGTGACTTGTCTTTTATGTTGCCATGGTAACCCAAATCTATTTTAACAATTGTCATACTACAAAATTATTTGAAGTTATATATTTATGAATGTATTTGTTCTCAATTTTACTAAACGTATGCATGTGTAAAAGATACCATTTAAATATTTGAAAGAAATAACATTATCAGTGCTTTGTGCTGAATGATACTCAAGAATTTGTTATTGCTAGTCTGCAATCAAACACTTTTAGATTTTTCATTCCACACCTCTAACTTATGGATCTTTAATTCAAAACAAATAATTCATTTTTTACATTGACTATTTCATAATGTTTACTATTAAAGAAGCTATATTTTAACTTGAAACATTTTGAAATTTGATTATTTTCCCTTCTAAAAAAACATAATTTACTCAAATTTGTAAGTGTGTAGTACCATATATGTCAAGTTTATGTATCAATGTATCGAGGAAAAAATCACATGTGGAAGATTAATCTCGATTCCAGATGGGAAATTCAATGTCTAGTTTTATAGATAAAGAACAAGTATTAAGTAATTTGTATACCTCAGTGGTATGGCTGGATACAACGTGATATATGTCATCTCTAGCACATTATTTTTCATTATTTAAGAAAGCTTTCACCGATTCCTGTGGTAGCTCTCAGTAACACATGTTTTCTCTGACATTTTATATACTGTAAGTTATCTTGGAAATGTTTATTAGAAGAAGTTGCACAGGATAACAAGTTGGTTTTCCAGTGTTCTGAAACTTGTGTATGCTTCTTCTTGTGTGAGAAATTACCAGTGAGAGGAAACATGTGGCTTAACACCAATATATCATTCATCATTCTGATGACAGAAGTTTTAATTCTAACTGTGTCTGATATGCCAAACACTTGTAACATTATTTCTGCATGAGTGTGTGAAAAGGTCAGGTTTCATTTGATAACGAAAATTTTGAATTCATATTTAACAATATTAATGACTGAAATTTTTCATTATTTTGACATCCTTTACAACTAGTTACATGAAATTTATTTTTGAAAACTTAACAGTTCCTGTCTGCGTGAAATAGTTGTCAATTACTTTTCTGTTTAAATCTTTTCATATAATTTCTTCAGTAAAAATAATTAATTTAATTTGACTTGAGTCAACTGATGGAAAAACAAAATGTATGAAAGATATTTAAGTTTTGAAATACAGATACAAGAAGAGGATTCTGCAGGCTTTCCCTGTTGTCCAAATACTGTGGTATCTTTCATTATCTGTAAATCTGTTCTAGAACTTATAATGAAAGTGTGGATGTGGATTATTTCAGATGTATGAATGTTGCTTTTGTGTGGTGAGAGCTACTCTCTGAGTGTCCTATAATATAAGGATGTATAGACTTTGTGACAAAATCATGTTCTATGTGTACATAATGTATGAAAGGAATATAAGTAATGGAAAACCATAGTAAATTAATATTGATCGTACGAAATATGAGTCATTCATATTACCGTACATACATACCAGGCAATATCAAACTTGATTAAAATCTTTCCCAAGTAAGTCCCGCATTTTGTTGTGTTTTGTTAGTAATTCTGTCTATAGACAATTAGAGAGATGGATATCAAGCATTATAAGGTCACCTGAGCCGAAGGCTCATGGTGACGTATTGCCATCATGATTTGTCTGTCGTCGTGCATCGTTAACTTTTCACATATTCAACTTCTCAAGAACCACTGAGTGGAATTTGACCAAACTTGGCACAAAGCATCCCCATGGGAAGCTGCTTCATTTTTGTGAAGCAAAAGGGTGTGGCCCCAATAGGGGCCCCAGGAGGGGGAAAAAGTGGTAAAATTAGGTAAATCTTTAAAAATCTTCTCCTTATGAACCAAGTATCAGATTTTCCTAAAATTCAAAATTAATGATTCTTAGCGCAAGGCCTACAAAGTTTGCAAATTAGAAAAAAATTGGGTCATAAACAGGCCCTCCAGGGGGCACTAAAAAGGGGTCAAAATTCAAAGTTGATGGATTTCAACCAAATTTAGTATAAAGGGTCCACTAGTGAAGAATATGTGACTTTGAGTTGGAAAAAAAAGTGTCTGGGGGGGTTCTGGGACCACATGGGGGCAAAAAGATTAGATTAGACAATTTGATTTTTTTTGAAAATGGGTTCTAATGGCATTGACCATGTTTTTAGGTTACAACCACACTAAGCACAAAGCATCTGTGTAATAAGACATATTTAGATGGGGGGTGGGGGGGGGGTGGAAATAATGACTGCAATAGGGGCCCCAGGTGGGGGTAAAAAAGGAGTAAAATTAGGTAAAGTAAGCTTCTTTAAGTTTACAATAGAAAAAGGTGTGGCCTCATTGGGGGCATATTTATGGGGCAGAAAGGGGTAGAATTTGTTAAATCTCAGCAAATCTTGTTGTCCTGAACCAAAAGTGTAACTTCATATAGATGATCTTTAGGGAAAGGACTGCAGAGTTTGTGAGAATAAAAATAACTGGTCCAAAATTAGCCTTTCTGATATTTGTTACATATTAATCTTTAATAAAGACATGTTATGTGTTTATGACAACCATATAGGTGAGAAAAAATGTGTAGCCAGATCTTTCATCAAACCCGGATCTTATTACTCGCTGAACCTTCTATGTTCTGAGCTACATGTATAATATGGTTCAATATCTGTGGTAACACTACATTTCTCAGCCTTGATACATATATATTCCTGTCTCAGAAGTACCACAAGATTTTTTCACATTGTTTTATGTGAGTTTTTTTAGTTGGATGCCTTATTGTATTAGGCAAGGAAAAGATTGTGGATAGACTTGAAATTGATCTGATTTTTTGTATACTTTAGCTATACATGTATCTACTAAGCTATTTTTCAACTTGTAAATGAAAACATGATTTGCTTTATATAAATGTGCAACCCTGTCCTCTGTTTGGCTAAGACATTTTGGACTTCCTCTCAAGAACCACTGGGTGGATCATGTTCAAACTTGGTACAGATGTTTAGCACACAGTCCTGCACAAGTGTTGTCACATTTTTGCAACATTTTAAAATCCCCAGATTATTGACATATTCCTCAGGTGACCGTTAAGGCCCCTTGGGCCTCTTGTTTATCATAATACACAGAAACTTAACTCAGCTGGCTAATTCAGTTATTCATTCACTTAACAAAGAACTTCAAATATTTAAGAAATTATTTCCCTGTTCTGTCCCATCCTTGTGGTCAAACAGATGTCAGATTCACTATTCATTGAAATTGCCTCAGACCAAACTTGGACAATATCCTTGTACGGAAGAAGGATTAAGAACTTTTATTTCCCAAAATGGGCCCCCCACCTCTACCATCCCAGGGGGCCGGAATTCATCATTTATGTAGAACTGATCCCCCCTTATCCAAGAATACCAAATTAAAATCCAATCATTCTTACAGGAGGAGTAGAATTTTAAAGAATTTGCTTTATTTCCCCTAGTGGGACAAACCTCTCCCTCCCATGGGGGCCAAGACCCACCATTTATAAAAGAGTGATTCCCCTTTGCTGCCGAAGAATGCTTCAGACTAATTGCAGACAATATTCATTCATTTTCACAGTAGGATTTAAAGCCTTGAGCAATTACCCCTTTTGGGCCCATTTCTTAGGCCCTGAGGTTCTTGGAACCAATATTTAAAGAAGGCGGGTTCCCTTCTCACAATGATCCTTTTGACCAGGTAAACTAAAATTATAACATGTATATACCTGGTACTGCCCTTACTTGACTTAAGTAAGTTATGTTACATGAAACAATCTTATGGATTGCCCTTAGCCGACCAAATCATAAGGCCATGATGGCTAAGTTTTTAAAGTGTTAGCCTGAGTAATTTCACCTGGTGCTCCTAGGTGCGTTATTCATTGCTTGCTTACATGGCAGTTTATGCTTTTCTGAATGTTATGATCTGGACCAGTCTGTGCAATCAATCTTGCATCCTTGGACAGGACACTTTGCCTTTATTGATCTGGATGGCTTACAACAGGCCTCCTGCATGTTGTTCAGTGAGGTAGCAACCAGTTACTACAAGGAAATTGACCACTGCTCATTAGGCGATATGCCAGGCAACAATGATCAAGTCACAATAAAACCTTCAAACCCACAGGCAATGAACAGAAGTAATTATCTGGCCCCTTCCAATCCACAAATGCGTCATTAAATCAATGTGTTATATGTATTTTAACTATTCTATTTTGTATGTATAAATCTTTTGATAAGGAAATGCATACAACAGACAAGTAGCATATAGCTAGCTTTAATAACCAACCCTTGAAAAAAACAATGTTAATTCAATATAGTGACAACATATCTATTTATTAACAAACACAAGCTTATAACCACATGGCCTAAGTCTTTCGAGGTCTTCCCCTTTTACGACCTTGAGGTTTTTCAGGTGAACTTTGGCCTTTGACTTTTTGACTGTATGCAGGTAGAGGGGTAACAACGAGCCTCGCTGAATTTGTCTTTTTTCTTGTCTGGTTTTTCCCTGTAATCAAAATATTAATAAAAAACATTACTGACATTTCACATCAAGGTAAAAATATACAAACTCTTTAACAAAAATGTAGTTCTTGAAAGATATTCTCATTTAAATCCTGACCTGGGATAAAGAATTAAAAAAAATATCAGATTCTCATAGTAATGCTGATAATAGAACATTTAGGCACATAAGCAAATAAATTATTCAAATTGCTAAACAAAACAGGTTTATTGAACAGAAAGTGTTTTAATTCAGTTCAGAATCATTTTAATACATAAATCACTCGGCTAATAAAACCATAAATCAAGACTTGAGATAATCCCTCATCTTACCCTTTTTTCTGCGTCCTTTTCTAGAGACAACCTCGCTCCCTGTTGGAATAATGGGCATGTTGAGTAGGGACTGTTTGAGGGCTGTTACCTGTTCTGAATCTTTTTCATTTGGATCCTCATCTGCAGTAACAACAGAAACTTGTAGATTCTATGCATACAGAACTGTAGATCACAGAAAGAACTTGTCACATACCATCCTACGATCTTACTGGTTCAATATCAGTGGAGTCTTTTCTATTTTTCTTTTACTTGTACAGATGCATTGGCAGGTAAACCAATCATAAATTAAAATTATGAGGGAAACAAAAACCCATCAAGTACTTAATACTGAGAAATATCATAAATTTTGTAAAAAATAAAAAAAATTGTCAGCCATTTCACTTATTTTTGTGGTCAGTCTCAGAAGTGATGCACAGTAAATGACAAAAGGAAACATGAAATTTGACTGAGATATAGTCAGTACTTTCTGAGAAATGATCATCAAAATTTCTCACTATATTATTCAATGAAGGCCTTATTTCAGCTGATGATTTCTCTGATCAGTCTTGAATTTTAATGGCTACAGCTAAGGGCTAACCAGAACAATATACCAATAACAAATTTAAACTTAGCTCTAACCTTGTTTTCCCATCCCATAGGTATCATTTGTAAGTGATTAATTGTTGAATATTAAATGAAAATATTGTTTAATCTAAATTTAAACTGTGAAAATTGAAGATGACTGCCTGTCAGCCAATTTGGATTCCAAAATATTTTGTCTAAATTTTCAAAACTCAATATATCTGCCTTTCCACATTTTAATTTAGAAAGTCAGTTTGGAAATTCAACATGCATGTAGAGACAAGTGTGAAATTAATCCTGGTGAAAAAGCCCCAACTGATACAACTGCGAAATATTGGTCCCAATATTGACCCTGCAAAGTTATACAACTCTACAGTATATAAAAGAAATGTCCACACTGAGGCACTGTCACACTACATATTTAATCTGGGAAAGACCATCCAGAGAAACAGATATCCTCAACAAACCTGAACAATGACGGTCTGTCAGCCATTTTGTTTTGAAGCAACTTGATTATACATACCAGGGTAACTAGAAACCCAGGCAAATTTTTATATGAAATATGAGTAGGATTGACCTTTTACATATCAGCAATTACAGTTCAAGAAGTCTTCTAGAAGGGATGAAAACATGAATAAAGGGAGATTTCAAAAGCTCTCAAACATGGAAAAAAACGACAGTAACGCATCCTTCGATTTATCGGAGCCCAGAATTCAGCTGTGTCTCAGCATTTTCTGAGTGTAAACCTGACAACTCCAGCTTCAAAGTTGTACTAACCCAACATTTCTCTAACAGTGACTGGAACGTCTGGTGGTTCTGTCCTGGAGGTTTGAGGTTCATCACGTTCACTTACAGAAGAAGCTAAAACTTTCCCACGACGAAAGAGACCACTTGGAGCAGCTGCTTGCGCAAATGCCTTTTCCTTCAGTAAAAGTTTCTTAGAAGGTTTCTGAAATGCAAGATTAATGCTAATGATAATTTTCTGTACTTAAAACACTTTACATCTCAAAAGTTTTTGATATTAGTCCCAACAGCTGCAAATGCAATATATTCAATGTTCAATACCATGAAAAGAATTTCTCATGTTAAACTTCAAAATTGTTGACTCATCATATTCAAATTCAGAGAAGAAATAATTTTTTACTATGTGAAAAAAAATGGTTCAACAACACACATCATATAACTACACATTTTGTTTCCTCAGTACAAACTTCTTTTCTAATAAGCATACAACAGGTGATATCTAGGTGATATATGGGACCATATCTAGCAGTTTTTTTATATCATTACACATACTAACAAAACCTACTTCACTGTCATGTAATCAGCTCAGCCTTTCACTTGAAGCTAAAAACAAATTTGTTAGCTCAATGGGTTGTCACAGGTTAACTTTTAAGTATTCAGGGGTATGTAAAAATATTTTAAACCACTCGGCACAGGACTAGTGGGTTGAAAAGTTTACTCGTCCGGATTGGAAATTTACTCGTCCAAATTCAGCTTTGAAATGGTGACTTAATCAGCGAGGATGTGACATGTGACTTTTTTCTATTTTTTATTGAAACCCTCTCACCCATTTTCTCTCATATAATTGTCCTTTCTCCCTCTCTGTACTTTCTGACTGTCTCTTTCTTTTTTCACAGCCAGTGGTCTGTTGTGTTTTTTCTCTTCCATGTGACTGTCCATATGAAGTACAAGGCTCATTGTCAGTCTTTGACTTATCAGCTTCGTTTGGCATATTAAAGTTATGTGTTTAGGATTCTTTGTCATTGTTTTCATCATCCTTGTTAGTTTTAGTGAAAAAAACTATGCAGTGATGACTGCTTTGCATCAGACATTGTGCGCGACTTTGGCCTAGCCATAGTGTTTGTTTACATCTGACTGACCAGGTGCTGTTAAGAACATGAGCACCTGACATCAGTTTGACAGCTGGAAAATGACTAAGGTATTCCGATTGCTATATTTGACGTCATGGGAGTTCCGGTGTAATCAAAAGTTAGAGTGTAGCCTGGAATATTTTGTTTTCAAAGAACCTTAAACACATTTCTTTGTTTTAAATTCCCTTTACAACGTTTATTGAAATCTGCCTTTTGTAAATTTAAGTTGTAACATTAATATCATTTGAAAAAAAGTACTCTTCTGATGGACAACTGACAAAGACAAATCTGGTCGTCCGAGACAATTTTCACTCGTCCATGATGACCAGAGTGCTTTTCTAGACCCCTGGTATTGTAATTTATATTACCATTTAAAGCGAGTTTGTATTTACTTAAAATAGTGATGATTTTTGGAATGGGTTCTGAAATTTAGTGTCAAAGAAATGGAAACTAGTAACAAAATACGTTCAATAACTTACTGTTTCTTCATCTTCATCTCCAACGTCATCATCCATAGAGTCCGAGCTAAGATCGTTATCTTTGGCAGCTTTTCTCTTAATAGTCTGTAAGGTTAAAGGTTAAACAAGTAATTATCATATTAAGCATTTTACCACTCACAAAATAAAAAGACAATGCACAAATTATCACAATTTTCCACCATTCTCATTCATAATGTGCCACTGATGTAGTGCCACTGATGTAGTGCCACTGATGAAGTACATTCTTTCTCATACATACACAATATCATTTTGCATGCAACACAAATAGACATCAGTTTTAACAAATTAAGGGACATACCCCAGCTTTGCGTCTGTCCTGGTAGTAGATGATGGCTCTGTAAGAAAATTGGACACTTTAAATTGGCTTTACTGACATTGAATTTCACTGATCTCAGAATTTAAATGATTTCTTCAATCACTTCAGGAAACTGACCTCAGCTACTCAATATACAAAGTATCTTGGTTGTTAGGCTGAGACAAGATCTACTCCTAGATCAACGATTTAGAAAAATTAAAATGAGGGAAGACCCATGATTGTCCCTATAAAAAAATCAAAATGAGGGAAGACCCATGATTGTCCCTATAATAAACTAAAATTTGGTCTCTTAATTGCCAGTCTGGATAAATGAGAGAAATACTAGGAATTATCAAATTGCATCCTTTCATTAGACCAAAGATGTGAGTAAGCTTCCGAGTTTTGGGGATCCCAATTGCGATCACCATTACAGAAAGAGATAGCAAGGCTCTGTTTCTTGTATGAGAGAAGTTTTTTTGTCAGCAATGATGATCTCAAACCAAAACAAAAAAATAGACTTACTTTGTGATGCCTGGTACCACATCCTGTTTGATCACCGACAGTGACCGTGACGGCTTCGTGGCCTGTGGCCCCTCTAATGCTACCTTGATGGCCTCATAGTGCTGATGGACTGTTGCCATTTGCTGACAAAGTAAAACTTATCTGTTAACGTACTTGTAAGTTAGGGTGAAAAATGAAAGATGAATGTTTAACCAAGTGAACAACATTGATTATTCAATGTTGTTATTTAGCAGCTTGTAGGCATATTATTTCCATTTTGTAACACTGTATATACCTCCAACATTTCTGTCGAGAAAAGGTCAAAAAGAACACTCTGTTCCTCCTTGAATTCCTCTGAAAGTGATACCTCATCTTTTGTCTTGTCCACTGTATGTAACACCTGTCATCAACATAAAAAAGGGCCATCAGAGATAAGTTGAATAATGCTAAATTATACTCCCCGAATAGGACAAAATTTAAATATGAAAAATAAAAAAGTTCAAAAGAGAGTGATGTTTCTTGTAATGCACTGCATTTTCCCTTGTTAAGACCTATCTACCTATGAATTTTCATGTTGATACCTCTTATAATTTTAGTGTAATGCTCCAGACAACATACAAGTATGAAAAATAGCAAAGGGCAATAACTCCTAAACTATGCAAAAGAGAGTGATGGTTCTGGTGCACTACACTTCTCCTTGTTGAGATCTATCTACCTTTTATCATGATACCTCTTATAGTTTTTGTGTTATGCTCTGGACCAAATTGTGATGGACGGACAAATGGACTGACAAACAGACAGACGGATGGACAAAGTGGCAACTATATCCTCTCCCTTCAGGAGCATAAAAGTAATGATATTTATCATATGTTTTCTACACCTGATTTTATATCAACCTCAAATCTCTCTAGCTTAAAGAAACAAATCTTATTTATCCAAGCCTACAATACCCTTGTAGCAGGGTAATTATACTGAACACAAACAGATGTAAGTGTACTTGTTATAATCAATATAATATCAGGTATCATGATTGCAGTTCATTTCACATGTAATTTCAACCCATCATGTCATGCTGTACTATTAGAATAAGACAATTCAGCAAATTACAGTCCCCTATCAATTGTGAAACTTAACCCAAGAATGCAATGTATGTGAACTTACAGTGTAGGAGACAGAGCCTGAACAAACCTTTTGTTTGATGTAAGTCAAATGTCAAAATGTAGGTCAGAGAGACCTACTTTTGATACAAGTTCCGGTTTAATGTAGAAGATATAGTGCAGACAAGATAGCAGAAGGATGGACAGACACCACAGAAAACAGAAAATGAAAGATACATGTATCTGTGATCAATATTAATCATCTGATCAATAAATATAGCTGATTGAACAAATTTGACTGATGTTGTAAAGTACTGTCACAGTAAGTTAACATCACATTGACAAACAGAGATCACTTCTTGTCTAGTCCAAATGAAACAGCAGAAATCAACAGCAACAACCTAGTGTTACTGACCTCAACCGGTTTGGCAGTAAATAGGAAAGCATTTTGGAAACGAAGTTTATGAAAGACAAAGTCGACATCAAGATGCTGTTGACGATGAGCCTCACTTTGGAATTCTAAAAGGTCACGCCACATTGAGTGTGTTGTTCTGATCTGAAATAACAACAATCCAATGTCAGTTGATCACCAGAGAGAACCATTCCTTAAAAATGTTTATGTTTCAAACTTCAATGGCACAGCATCAAACTGAATAAACTTACAAACCCGAAATAGTATTATCAAGGCTTTTAACACCAAAACTACAGCCTAACCTCTGACCCAAATCTGTGCCAGGTGGGCTTATTACAGGACAATGATAAGCATTTGTTGATATTTCTACCAAAACTTCAATAGATGTGGGCAGATTTTTTAATAAATTTTATTTTCAAGGTATCTTTAGAAAGAATATTGATAAACTTCAGTAAACTGCTGGAGAAGACACTTGACAACAGCTAACGAATTGAGATGAAATTGCAAAGTATCATATATACATTGTAAATATATTATTATGTTCTGAGAAGAAATATCATCAAGCTTTATACCAATAATCGTACTAACTGATGGTTTGTGATTTCCTATACCTTGACTCTCTGGCAAAGTGGTTGTGTGTTAAAGATCCCATACATCAGGTATAATGCTCCAACTCGTACTTGGAAGTTGTATGGAGCCACAACATACTGGGAGGCAATCCTGAAACATTCTTCTGTGAACTGAAAAAGTAAAAATAAGAATATTAGTAGAGTTAAATTTGTGTTGAATAATGAAAATTAGAGGATATCATAATTGTATTATTGATAAACAAGATATTAACTACATGATTGTATAGGTCATCAGTCAATATTATATAGGTCAAAGGTCATCAGTTATCATCATAATTGTCACTGATCAATACTATACTGGTCAAAGGTTACCAGTCACCACTGTACAGATCACAGGTTATTGGTCAATAAGGTACAGGTCAAAAGTCACCAGCCAACAATGTACAGGTCACAGGTCACCAATCAATACTATACTGTTAAAGGTCGTCACTATACATACAAGTAACCAGTCATCAATGTACAGGTCACCAGTCAATACTGTACCAGTCAAAAGTCACCTGTCACCACTGTACTGTCAACTGCCATTAAGATCATCACTATTTGAGTTACTGCTGGTCACCAGAAAAAGGTAACTGCCAACCAGTCAATACTATACAGGTCAAAGATCACAGGTTATTGGTTTATAGGTCAAAAGTCACCAATTATCTATGGTCATGTCAAACATAAAAAAACTGCACAGATCATACAGGTTATCAGTCATCACTGCTCAAGTTACTTGTCAATGCTGCACAGGTCACCATCCATCACAGTCAATATTGCCAAGTCACTAGTCTATACTTTACAGATCGGGTGGTCGGGTGGCGCAGTGGTAACGCACTTGCCTTTCACCTAGCCGACCGGTGTCATATCATATTTGGATCCCCCATCAGAAAAGGATCCGGATCACTTTTCTGGCCATCAGAAAATGATCCCCCCTACAGTATTTTGATCCCCCTTAAGAGAAGTTATATTAACAGTGCATATATGCATATATTTAAGGTGATAGTGAAAATATGATGATAGGTGTTATGTTAGCTGTGAGGTTGTTAATTACACCTGGCCAACCAGTCAATTACATAAGAGGATTAAGGGTAGAGGGGTCAAACATGAGTGAGCACCCATGTGCACATGACAGGTATACTGAGTGATCAATTAAAGTTACCTGTGGATAAATTCCATTACAGATTGATTGAGGTCATCATTTTACATAAAAACTGTGTTTAATATACATTTTCCACTTTAAAATTAATATATTCATATTTGCATGAATATTAAAACTTGCAAATAAATTGCTTAACAGTTATCTAATTGGAAAAAAAACAATGCACGCTATACATGTATGTGTGTTGGATCATTAGGGATTTAATTTTATTTTAATCCCCCCTTTATATGTCATCATACCCCCCCTGGATACTATTCTGATGGCCATCATATATTGATCCCCCGTTTATATCTCATCATACCCCACTAGATACTATTCTGATGGCTATCATATATTGATCCCCCCTTATATCTCATCATACCCCCCCCTAGATACTATTCTGATGGCTATCATATATTGATCCCCCCTTATATCTCATCATACCCCACTAGATACTATTCTGATGGCTATCATATATTGATCCCCCTTTATATCTCATCATACCCCCCTAGATACTATTCTGATGGCTATCATATATTGATCCCCCCTTTATATCTCATCACACTCCCATATATCTCTCTGATTGTTATTATATCTGTAACAATGACCCTCCTCTCCCCCTACACCTCCCATCCCGCTATTTGGTATCATTTTGTTTTATTCTATGCATTTATGTTGCACTTCTTTCCTGTAAGTGACTTAATTGATAAAAATGGGTCTTAGTGTACATTATTGGTAAATAATTATTTCCTTTTTACCTCAGAAGTTCTACAATGGTTTCTTATACATAAATATATATTTACCTCAACGTTTTATAAATATGTTAGAATAAACTAACTATATATGGATCACTAACTCTTAATTTCCCACTCTGCATACATGTTCAGAATTGTATATTGTTTGTAAACTTTGTATTTATAATTTCGACATTAATTGTAACTAATTTTCTCCCTTTCAATTTAAAAATACTACTTTCTTATTGTACGTCTCTTTGTTTATAATTATTGATCCTAAAATCTCTCTTTCATCAAAATATATCCTTTTAGGTCAATTGGTAATTATCCCTTTGCACATATATATGCAGAAGTCTACATGCATACATGTATATAAAAATTCTCCATTGAATCCATAAACTTATTTTCCATGAAGTATATTTGGGACAGGTTATGTATAGAGTAATTATGTATGCAGTCATCATTTAAGCCCCTGTCAATCACTACCTGTACAGGGTAATCTGGAGCTTGACCTCTTCAGCCTTGGCTCCACAGGTGTTATGTAATCACACCTGTACAGGTAACCCAGGTATCAGTGACCAAGTCCAAGACACAGTTACCTATCATATCTCATTTTATTTATAAAGCTATAAAGTTTAAAATAAAATTCACAAGGGGGATCAAAATACTATAGGGGGGGTCCTTTTCTTATGGGGGAAAAGCGATCCCCGGGTCCTTTTCTTATGGGGGAAAAGCGACCGGATCCTTTTCTGATGGGGGATACAAATATGATATGACACCGGGGTTCGATTCCCGGAACGGACGTGAAAAGGTAAGGGGTCACCTGCCCGACCACGTGGGTTTTCCCCGGGTACTCCGGTTTCCTCCCACAATAAGACCCATTGCGCGCTTACATCCGGGCCAACAAGAGTGATTAGTATAAGTTAACATAACTTGTTTCGCAATTGTTGTAAAATAAATAAAGTTTATATACGTATATATACTTTACAGATCACCATTCATTACTGAACTGGTCACTGGACACCAGTCAATATTGCAAAGTCACTAGTTAATACTGATCAGGTTACCAAATATCAGTTACGTGACTAGGGGCATGTGTTAATTTACAAATGCTTCTGTGTTCAAGCTGATACTATCATCATCTTCAATAAACAATACAAGAAGCAAGAAAATGCACGGCCAGACTGGGGTTCAAACCTTGGTTACTCCAAACTCTAGACAGACATGTTACCAATTGTGTTACCTGGCTGCTGATGATCCATGCAGTCCAGTTCCACTATAAAACCACTTAACCGCTATGATTCTTTTATCAATAGAGTTTGGTAATAACGAAAATGATTCCTTTTCATGTCATATTGTGATTTATAGCCGAATTTGCCATTGCTTCAGTACTTGGATTATGTAAACATGATTACATACATGTACATATACAGTCAGGTCGGGCACATGTTTATTTATATTACTATAGTACATGCATTTACTATCAATGGCTTTAGAACTGACAAGGCAACTTTTTTTTTCAAATGAAAATGCACAAGCACAAAAGTGATACCTAAATATTACTGCTGTTTAGAAATCACATCAAAACATTATACTGTCGCCATCAGTTTTTATAGAAATTAACTGATTTAATTAAATAATTGGTTTATTGTTTGAATCAAAATAAACAAGTAATGACGATGCAATAAGATTACAACTTTATGTAGATATCATAGCCATTACGTAAACGCTATTGAACACTAAGTTGTGCAATGGCACGAACACAGATATGCAATGTATCTATAGGTCTATATATAAAATCTTAGTGAAATAAATCTGCTGTGTGTGTGTAATGGTGTGTGTATGTGTGTGTGCTTTTTTCGACCTGTCTGGTTCTTACCTCACGAACTTCTCTTTCCGATTGTCTTCCGGCAAATATCATAGACATTTTCATGTCGCGCCAAATTTCTACAAAATTTTCATACCGAACAGTTTCTGTTGCTATAAAACGTTGTAAAAGATCCTCAAAATCATCTTTTATCCCTGAAGATGGTGTATATTTATGTGGGTATCGTAATTTTGGACCCATTTTTAATGGATCAATGCTTTGAGCGAGTCAAATCAGCGTTATTAAAACGTTTGGGATCATACTAAGAGTAGGACTTTCCCAGTTACACGTTTGGGTCATACTAAAAACCAGAATATTCATCAACCTTACCTAAACTGACCTTAATACCAGTTTATTTGTGAAAAGGAACGCATTGTTTTTGACAGAGACGTATCTGTATTATACGTCCCTGCTTTTGAATATGAGACAGAACTGGCTTTATTGACATCATCTGATATGGTATATCAAAAGGAAAGTAGAGAAATGCAAATGAAGAGTTATTATCATTGAATAAACTATCTGCTAAAAATCCACTTGTCCATCAATAGTGTCAACTTTGCTACATTGTATGTCCACGAGATAGTGAGAGGAATGGACAGGGCATGTGACGATATCATAAGGAGCCAGCTGAACTAAAATGAGAGAGTCTGTTGCTTAATCAGGTAAATCTGGATGTGGCATGTTCAGAAGAACGCCACCAGATTGAAAGAATCTGTTAACTATAATATATTCATGATTGATTTATTTAATTTGAGGGTTGACATTCAGAAACTAAATCTCAGTCATAAATGAGAAGTTAGAGAATGTCAGCCCAAGACTGAGATGAATCAATTTCAAACATCGAAAGGTAATAGATTTTTTTTCTCAAACAATAGAGCATCAAAATTGCATAGACCTGAGCTTTCTCAATTAGTCTTATTTCCAGGTTCTCTGATTCAATTACATTAACAGCTCCCTTTAAGTTAAGGCGTCAGAAAGAACACTGAATATAACATCATTACCCCACAGCCTGTAGGGTGTGGGGTATTGCGATCACGCACGGCGTCCGTCCGTCCGTCCGTTTGTTCCTCCGTCCACATTTGCATACCGCTTATTATCTCAAAAACTACATCACCGGTCATCACCATTTTCACTGGGGATGTTGGGCCTATTGACCTATACAACCCTATTGTTTTTCGTCGCTGCCTGATATCCAATATGGTGGTTTCAGCCACCATCTTGAATTTGCATTCCACTCATTATCTCAAGAACGACATCACAGGTCATCACCATTTTCACTGGGCATGTTGGGTCTATGGACCTACACAACCCTATTGTTTTTCGTCCCTGCCTGATATCCAATATGGTGGTTACGGCCACCATCTTGAATTTGCATTCCACTCATTATCTCAAGAACGACATCATCGGCGATCACCATTTTCGCTGGGCATGTTGGGTCTATGGACCTACACAACCCTATTGTTTTTCGTCGCTGCTTGATATCCAATATGGTGGTTACGGCCACCATCTTGAATTTGCATTCCACTCATTATCTCAAGAACGCCATCACCAGCGATCACCATTTTCGCTGGGCATGTTGGGTCTATGGACCTACACAACCCTATTGTTTTTCGTCGCTGCCTGATATCCAATATGGTGGTTACGGCCACCATCTTGAATTTGCATTCCACTCATTATCTCAAGAACGACATCACCGGCGATCACCATTTTCGCTGGGCATGTTGGGTCTATGGACCTACACAACCCTATTGTTTTTCGTCGCTGCCTGATATCCAATATGGTGGTTACGGCCACCATCTTGAATTTGCATTCCACTCATTATCTCAAGAACGACATCACAGGTCATCACCATTTTCACTGGGCATGTTGGGTCTATGGACCTACACAACCCTATTGTTTTTCGTCGCTGCCTGATATCCAATATGGTGGTTACGGCCACCATCTTGAATTTGCATTCCACTCATTATCTCAAGAACGACATCACCGGCGATCACCATTTTCGCTGGGCATGTTGGGTCTATGGACCTACACAACCCTATTGTTTTTCGTCGCTGCTTGATATCCAATATGGTGGTTACGGCCACCATCTTGAATTTGCATTCCACTCATTATCTCAAGAACGCCATCACCGGCGATCACCATTTTCGCTGGGCATGTTGGGTCTATGGACCTACACAACCCTATTGTTTTTCGTCGCTGCTTGATATCCAATATGGTGGTTACGGCCACCATCTTGAATTTGCATTCCACTCATTATCTCAAGAACGACATCACCAGCGATCACCATTTTTGCTGGGCATGTTGGGCCTATGGACCTACACAGCCTATTGAGGTTCTTCACAATCTCAGCCCTGCACCCAACTTTATAATAAGGCTGTGGGGTGTTGCCCGCGTTTGCAGAGATATTTTTTTTAATTGTGATGCCAGGGTGCCAAATATCGCCTAAAGATAACTAACAAATGGGACGAGACAGAAAAATAGAGCAATGAATAGTGGATGAAATTTTGCTGCCTCTTGTTTGAGAAAGAACCTTCTATTGAGGTACTGCATGTGATTTTTTTTGTCTGTATGTTTGATTTGTCTAGGATTGGATCTCTCTAGCAGAGTAGGCTGACATTCTGGGCAGAGCCACAAACACAATGCTGTCAGCGAGGAGAGCTCACTGGGCAAGCAATGTTCGAGTTGGATCAGTCAGTCAAGTCATCTTTCCGTTAGTTTTTAATTGTACATTGGTCAGCATCATAATGGCTTGCTTCACAAATAACAGAAACATCAATAAAAACGATGTGGTTTTTAGATCTCTGTGTGGAATTGGCAAAGTTTGGTTTTTCCATTTCATAACACAGTAAAAGTTATTTTTGAGGAATTTTATTTGCTCTAATTTCAAGAACTGAATAAAATCATAGAAAATAGACACCTTGACAACATAATTTACAGAAAAAAAAAATTGTTTATGTCATGACTAACATTCCACAAATCACAAAACGTCTACCTTCTACAGCAAGTTTGTGACATTTTTCCTGTATTTTGACTAATCTGGCTTGATCAGTCTCAACTATAGAAAATAAATTTGCAAACCAAAACTTGAAATTTATTACTGATATCATATTGTATTTCAAATTTGGAGCTGAAACTGATCACAAATTCTAATTTTTTTTTCATGAATATTCAGTCTCCCTAATTTTCTGGACTCCACGTCCTTGGTGACCTACCGTCTTCAGGGATAGTTACACAACAGGTGAGTTTACTTGTGTGGTAGGTATATAAGGTTTGTAGGATATTCTGGAAACTCTTGTATTAGGGACTATACTATTTTTTAAATTTTTTTTTTTTTTTTACACATCATGTCTCTCATGTTAGTGGCTATTACATATTCAATAAATGAACAGGTTCTCCAAACCGTCTCAAATCAGGACATTAAACTTTCCCATGTTTATTTGTTTATTTGATAAATAGTCAATGCAAAATAGTTGAAAAAGATGAAATATGATTTCAAATGAGTATATACCAGTAGTAAGACATTCCACCTCTGCAAAAATCAGACAGAGGAATATTCTTGAAAATTTTCTACCCATACTTAATAAAGTGACATATTGTGATGGTTATTACGACATGTACAAGAATAAACAATGAAAATTTTCATTACTTCACTACATCTGAATTTTCACATTCCTTAAACTTGCTCTAATCTGATAATGGGATATATACTGTGTACATGCAGGAGATTTTTGCTGCAGTTTACTTCCTTGTTATGGTCGATACAGTTTGATGTATATAAAGGTGAAGTAGATATATACAGTGTAGCACATTTTATATATAATATTCAAGAACAAATCTATAACACTGAGCAAAAATGAATAGTTTTATGTAATGTTGAAAGAATCCCTGGGAGAATGTGTCCCTGTTTACAGTATGTTTACTAAATATAATACATACTTTACTGGGTTAGAAATGAGGACAAAGTTCACACACATGGCAACGTGTAAGGTATAATGACAATAAATCAAAAATATATAAAAAGATATATTTAGTGAGCAATAATGAGCAAACACCAAAAACGTTCACTAGAAAGCATTGAATTAAGCACCATTTCTAAGTTTGCACTAAAGAAACCAGTGACAATTGACCAAAATTCCAGGTCATCTATTTTCCCTTCTGTTGATGTTTGACCTACTTTGATCTCAAATGAACCAATCATATAAAAGTGATGCTGTATAACACTGTACATATTATCACACTAGGGTAAATGTTGTTGCTCAAGGGCTCCTGAAAAGCTTTCTTCAAATATTCCACACATTTCACTCCTGTGACTTTCAAAGTAGATCAAGGTCTTTTATATGAGAAATGTTCCCAATCTAAGGCGTAATTGACAAATATACCACATACATGTGTAAATGACAATAACAGATACAACAATAACTTATCATAACAGAAAGTAATGACAAACTTAGAAGATTGTTGGAATGTCGTTATTTAAAGTGAAACCCGTACATTAACAAGAATCTGTTTAAATTCTAAATGTTAGGTACGCATATTCTCAACTAGTACAATTACATTCACCACTTCATTACTAAATATTTTCCAATGCATTTACCTTTTCCCCTGTTTTTTTGAGACATATAGTAATTATATGTAAGCCATTAATGATTTAAACACACTTGTAATTTTTTTCAGATAAAATGGCGTTTTTATACAATCTGTGACTGTCAAAATCAATAACATAGTACTCTATATTAGGGTTTTTTTCATGTATATATTTTTCTCATTAAAAATCCGATAAATTAACTATGGTGACAAAATCTTCCATTCTAAAATTTGATAGATAAACATTGAAATTAAATGTAAATCTATACCATTTTGAGGTCAAACTGTTATATTTCTGCGACACTGCAACACAGCATTTTACAGTTAGATGATTTTTAATTTTTTAACTCAATATCATCATTGAAACATCTACATGTAACCCTGGTAAAATACTAGCCACAATATACCACTCGGCTGGAGAGAACTTCTCTGTAGCTCTGTAACCCTGGTAAAATACTAGCCACAATATACCACTCGGCTAGAGAGAACTTCTATGTAGCTCTGTAACCCTGGTAAAATACTAGCCACAATATACCACTCGGCTGGAGAGAACTTCTCTGTAGCTCTGTAACCCTGGTAAAATACTAGCCACAATATACCACTCGGCTAGAGAGAACTTCTCTGTAGCTCTGTAACCCTGGTAAAATACTAGCCACAATATACCACTCGGCTAGAGAGAACTTCTCTTTAGATCTGTAACCCTGGGAAATATAATCTCCAATATACCTCTCGGCTAGAGAGAACTTCTCTGTAGCTCTGTAACCCTGGTAAAATACTGTTGCATATACATTCTCTATATTTCTATCATACAAATATGGGACTACCATCTAGAAAATGTAACAAAGAGAAAATAAACATAAAATTTGCACTATGGCCAAACAAAAAGTTCCTGTTTCCAATAACCGTATCTGTCCTAATACACGTATACATGTATTTTGAGCCTACCATAAACTTTTTAAGGCAATTTTCAAGGAAGCAGAGGTAAAGTAAAGATCCATCTCCTATATAAACCAAAAAAAAAAAAAACCTGTTAAAGAAGCAATTATTTCCTTCCTATGTATTCTTAATTTTCTAATTAACGTTACACAAGACATATTTTTTGTCTGGCTTAACTTCATCAACACTTTTGTTGAGTGAACATTGAATACACCCCTAACCCCAGCCATATTTTGTTTACTGATAATAATGCTGAGATTGATTTCTTTTATCAATGACAAAATAACATCAGTATCTATATGCTCCTCTAGACTCATAATTTAAAAAAATCAAAATAACAAAACACCAATGCAAATCTTATCTTAAGAAATATAAGTATGTGGTATTTGAATACACAACCATTTTTTTTCTTTGAAAATTCAATATGTCATATTTAAGGTTAAAAAAACTAGTTACCAGAATACAAATTTGAACATTTTTCACAAGGATGAGAAATTTAAGCAAAAATACATGCGCCCGTTATGTGCTTAGAATTATAGATAGAAATTAGAAATAAACAATATTGGAGCCACGATTAGGTAAACTGTATTTAACATTCATTGGATATATCACAGTAAGTATGGTGCTATCACGTGTTGGTTTCTAAAAGTTTTCCAAATCCCACATTTGCTTTCCTTCCCTGCAGACACATGACCACTAACACCACAAGGGTAACCAGCAGGAGACTGCCCAGGACAACGGCCAAAATAGTGGCTGCAAAAGTAACAAATGTCAGTCAAGATAACATCTAACTTGAGCTACCACACTGGTCATGGTAAAGGTTGAAAAGTTCAGATCAATAATTGTTAAGTTCAGATCAATAATTGTTAAGTTCAGATCAATAATTGTTAAGTTCAGATCAATATAATGGCCTCAAACCCAAATTTACATAACGACATATGTCAGACAGAAAAAAATCACAAAAAATAACTTCTAAAATGCTTTAGCCAATGTGCTGAAATTTTCTTAATCAAATATCATTTGATTTGTTTTATTTTATTTTATTTTCCTAACTCTACCTTTTAATGAACTAAATGTATAAAATTCTGAAACATGATTATAAAATGATGAGAAAATCTTCAATTTCTGCAATAACCTGATGAAAATAGCATAACAAGAACATATGAACAAGAACATATTCCTTAACAATGAACAAGAACATATTCAACATTGAGAACAAGAACATATTTCTCAACAATGAACAAGAACATATTTCTTAACAATGGACAAGAACATATTAATTAACAATGAACAAGAACATATTTCTCAACATTGAACAAGAACATATTCCTTAACAATGAACAAGAACATATTCCTTAACATTGAACAAGAACATATTCCTTAACAACGAACAATAACATATTCCTTAACATTGAACAAGAACATATTCCTTAACATTGAACAAGAACATATTTCTCAACATTGAACAAGAACATATTCCTTAACATTGAACAAGAACAATTCCTTAACATATTCCTTAACATATGAACAAGAACATATTCCTTAACATTGAACAAGAACATATTTCTCAACATTGAACAAGAACATATTCCTTAATATTGAACAAGAACATATTCCTTAACAACGAACAATAACATATTCCTTAACATTGAACAAGAACATATTCCTTAACATTGAACAAGAACATATTCCTTAACATTGAACAAGAACATATTCCTTAACATTGAACAAGAACATATTCCTTAACATTGAACAAGAACATATTCCTTAACAAAAAGCTGATCACACCGAGATTGGGTATCCAGAGTTACATTAAAATTTGAGATGTTTGTGTAGACCTGGAGGTTTAGTGTTGTGGCCAGGCAGTCTTTGTCATACTGCTTATATCTTACTTGACGTATCATAATTTAAAAATTGTTATTGGTATAGAACAGAACATTACAACCAGTGAGAAATGTATGTGATTACTCCATGGCTATCCCACCACCTCTATCAGACAAATGCCAAAAACATCACAAATACATTTTCTTAATGGTTTTGTCTGTGAAATATCTTACATATACTTACTAACCAGAAAAAATGTCTGACAATGATATCTATAGCAATTATTAAGTTCAGCAAAACCAAGAATCATTTTTTGCTGATGAAAGTACACTAGTTAACGTGTAATAGGAACAAAGGACAAATGCATAAATTTGAACTGGAAGTAGGGGGTGTAGTACTCACAAGTAGTAAAGAATGTTTTCTTTTCTTTTCCAGAGTGATCTGTTAATCCACATTCCTTGTTCCAATCTGTAGGAATCTTGTCTTTGGTTAAACTGAGGAACCTATCGTACGGACAGTCTATGAGACAACCTGAAATGGGTTCATGATAAACACTGTTACAATTTCATTCATCTTCAATCTTTTTATTCATATACCGACGTAGGAAAAGTAGACAAGTTCAAGTTAGGTCTATGTGAAATATGACATGTAGAAATCATCTTGAGTACATGTTTCATGTAAGATACATGTAAAGAGAGTGGAAAAGTAGTACTAAGGTCACTGTTTAACATACAATACAAGAATGTAGTCAAACACATTTAGCACCTGTACAGTGTACGATACCTGGTAGATAGAAAACACATTGTGACAAAGGTCCCCAGGTAACTTTGATCGACATAAAACACTGTAACAATAATGCCATGAAAAGAAAAGAGCAGTATCAGTGAAACTGACAAATACACCATGGTAACAACTTAACTGGACACAAAATTTCAACAAAGGGCAATAACTCTAAGTAATTGAGGGGTTGGCGGCCCTGAAATTTATACACTGCATACTGTTTTACTATGACCAATATATAAACTATGTCTCTTGATCCTTGCTTAACTGTTGGCAAAATTATGCTCTGAATCAAATGGATGGATGGACGGACAAAGTAGTAACTACATACTCCTCGAAAAAGTTTGGCAGAGCATAACAACAGTAATTAACTAATACTGCTGAAACTTTGACACGTAATTACTGTAAAATATCAACCATATTGATCCTCTCTTCAGATCAGATATCCTGTATATACTGATATATAGGTTTCTCGTTTGTAGAAATTGACAGACACTTACCAGGTATTGTCAATTTGTACACATTATCTGTGGTATTTTTGTACCAGACATTGACAAATTGTTGATAAGGATGGACTGTGGTGTTATCCCTTAGTTCTATGGACACCATTGCAGCATAAGGGGGACTCTTTCCATGCTCAAACAGTCCTAGAGCTGTTAACAGGGCAGCTACAGTGGTATCATGCTGTAGAAAACAAAAACAATAAAATAATGCTGTTCTTTCTCAGTGATCAGGATTTTATCACTGTATCTCGCCAGAAATCTGTTATCTCAAGGAAAAGCTGTTAAAAGTACCTGTTGCATGTTGCTAAAAGATGATCATGACCTAAATTGAAGAGAACAGAAAAATATTCATGGGTATAGTGTTCTTCTAGATATGATTATCCTTGTATCCTGAATTTTTTTTAATTTTCATAATATCTGAACAAAGACCAATGCATGTTCAAGAAGGTGTTGAGAAATTCAAATAAAAAAAGATTGATTTGTTTCATATAGAATGAAAATTCACAAAGTCTCTTTAGCATTGAAGCTAGTGCCCTATTTAATCCTGAAAATTTATTCAGAACTGGTAAATTTTCTTTCCAAACAAAGACATGAAGACATGATCCTTAACTGACATAAGTAGTCCTGGATCTTGAATGTCAATATGCACATGCACTGTTGTTTTGTTGGTTTTTTGGTTTTTTTTTTTTTGACATTTCAAAAGAAATCACCAATATTGCACAATAAAGTTAAAAAAAACATAAGTAAAAAAATGCTTCTTTCAAAAAGCATACAAGCATCTTTATCTTTTGCTGACAGGCCTACATGTACATACCTATAACAAAGGATTTTTAAATATGTAGGTCATTAAAAACTATGTATGGTTTCGTACCACTGTTATAATCCTGATGTCTGATCATATATTCTTACTGTTATGTCAAGTTTATCCAATGCTCCTCAGTGTGTCATGTGATTTCTATTAAATACCTTAGTACTCTTTTGAAGGACATGACATTACTTTGACCTAGATATATCTTGATACAGAATTGTCCATATCACTGGCTGATATGTTCTATCTTCTATTGTTATTTTCACAGCTGATTAAGCCAATATTTGCCTGTTTTTTAGCTTCACTGACTAGAAATTCAAATTACACCTGAACTCCACATATTTTTGTATCATGTCTCCTTGTTTAAGATTAAAATATGAATACCTACCCCAGAGTGCATGTACAGCTTTGTTTTTTGAGATCCTTTCAACTGATTCCTCATATTCTCAATAATTTCTTTAAGTAGAGGACCTAAAGAAAGAATTATAAGATATGAACAAGTGTCTCGATTAACAACATCTTGTCAGATGTAACAATGATAATAACTTTCTACACAACAGTCAAATAAGTAAAGCACCAGTATCTGATGACTCAATGATATTCCATCGTACACTACTGTATATCAGGTAAACTCTTACCTATAAAACATTTCATTTTGCAACAAGTGTTAATCTTATCCTTACATACTTCTAATATTTGTATATTTTTTATGCAATCAAATTTATCTACCATTCAGAAAAAAACAATCCCTAAAATTACAACAGAATGATGTCAATCTATTAGTATCTTACCAATCATGATTTAAGAGTACAATAGTAGACATTCTCTACACTTACAATTTCACTCCTCTCCACTTCCATCAGTGTACATCAAATTTAACCCCAAGGTCCTCACCACTGCCATCAGTGTACAACAAACTTAACCCCAAGGCACTCACCACTGCCATCAGTGTACATCAAACTTAACCCCAAGGTCTCTACCACTGTCATCAGTGTACATCAAACTTAACCCCAAGGTCCTCACCACTGCCATCAGTGTACATCAAACTTAACCCCAAGGTCCTCACCACTGCCATCAGTGTACATCAAACTTAACCCCAAGGTCCTCACCACTGCCACCAGCGTACACCAAACTGAATCCCAAGGTCCCTACCACTGCTATCAGTGTATATCAAACTGAATCCCAATGCCCTCACCACTGCCATCAGTGAACATCAAACTTTACCCCAAGGTCCTCACCACTGCCATCAGTGTACATCAAACTTTACCCCAAGGTCCTCACCACTGCCATCAGTGTACACCAAACTGAATCCAAAGGTCCCTACCACTGTTCAGACGAGTGCAATCAGTTTAAATCAAACTTAACCCCAAGGCCCTCACCACTGCCGTCAGTGTACATCAAACTTAACCCCAAGGTCCTCACCACTGCCACCAGCTAACCCCAAGGTCCTCACCACTGCCACCAGTGTACACCAAACTTTACCCCAAGGTCCTCACCACTGCCATCAGTGTACATCAAACTTTACCCCAAGGTCCTCACCACTGCCATCAGTGTACATCAAACTTTACCCCAAGGTCCTCACCACTGCCATCAGTGTACATCAAACTTTACCCCAAGGTCCTCACCACTGCCATCAGTGTACATCAAACTTTACCCCAAGGTCCTCACCACTGCCATCAGTGTACATCAAACTTTACCCCAAGGTCCTCACCACTGCCATCAGTGTACATCAAACTTAACCCCAAGGTCCTCACCACTGCCATCAGTGTACATCAAACTTTACCCCAAGGTCCTCACCACTGCCATCAGTGTACATCAAACTATCCAATAATCCCAAGAAAGTGTATGTGTACTTACCTCCCTTTAATCTGCTCTTATGCCCACTGAACATTAATCTAAAGGCAATATCATCAAGATAATGGAGCTTTTCATACACGGTCATATTCTCATTCCTCCATGTTTTGTTTGCCCAGCTTTCCCATTTCAGTCCATGAGCTTTCTGAGATATGAAATGATAATAACATCAACATATTAGAAAAAGATATAAAAGTATAATTTCAGAAGCTGTCCTTCTTATGTCTGTGTAAATCACAGTCTCTGTAGGTGATCTTAAACCTTTCTTATCTCCACTGATCACAATAAATAAAATTACCCAAATCTAAATTCTAAATATTCCTAATAATTGAAAATGTTTGCTGGTAGTTTTGATCTTTTTCAAAGATGGGGTTTCAAAAATGGCCTAAGAATCCAATACAACAGCTTGTATGTGCTGTTGGTAGTCTCTGCAGTCCTTTGTTTACAAATAGGCATTTAAGTTCAAACATGTACATATGCAAGAATATTAAGCCCTTTTTGTGACAATAATGAAAAATAATGTATGGTTTTGGGAGAAAATGCTACAACATCATTGCTTCATTTTTTAAAAGAAAACTAAACATGAAAAAGCTGATAATAACATGTTAAATATCATATATGCAAAGCAAGAAGTCACAGTTTTGAATACATTGGCAACAGGAGATAACAAGAGGCCCTAATGGTTACCTAAGGTATTCTGGTTTTTGGACAGTTTTAGAACCTGTCCATCAGTCCCAGCATTGGAGCAGACAGAACAGAACTGATATACGCATACTTACAAAGTTTTTATTGTTTCTAAGTTTGAAGGCTTAATTTTCAATTTAACAGAACTTACAACAGTCTGTTGTTGCAGTTTAGCATATTTGACCTCTTTGACCTTGAATGAAGTTGAATAAGATTGATTAACAATATTGCTATGTACTTTTCTAAGGAAAAACAAGCATAGGAGAAAATCTGTTTTGGATTGAATATTGCAAGGTAAACAGTAATAAAATGTTTATACTTGGTTTTATGAGTATAAAGGGACTGTCAACTACAGTAATAACCCACCAAAGTGAAATCCCAATTTTCAAAATGGCCGTCAGTTTCCCTAATAACTACAAAAATTAGATGTTCTCACAACTGCTCAATCAATATTCTAACAAGTTTGTAAATGACAGACTTAAGTTGGTTTACATATTAAATCACCTAATATGGAATCCAATCAGGCTTCTTTGTCCTTAAATAATAATAGTGGGATGTTTTGCCACGTATCATCATCAACACAAATATTTTGACCTTCAGGTTATTGCTCTCTTTTCTGATAATTCTTAAAACACTTTGCACTTTGCAATCTCTTGATCATCACTTAAGTTATTGCTATCTGCTTTTAAAACATCAAACAACCAACTGTGCTGGGGAAGTCTTATATTTCTAGCAGATTTCTTTGTTTTAATGTTTCTCCTAAAGACAACTTTACAACCCACACCTACCTCTCTTTGTGAGAACGGCACTGTATTAGGTGTTCAAAGTCTCCATCTTAGTAGAAAATGTAGTAATGTCAAAAGAACAATAAATGATATTGGGGTATATGATATATTGTTGTAAGATTGACAACAGAACCTGTATTGCTGCTCGCAGATTGAACAGAAACATTGGCACTAAAGAAAGTGACTAAAGATTACCTCACAGAGTAACAAGTCAGATATCTTCCACAAGGTCGTGACATTCTGAGGTCCCCATCCAGTTTTGTTGTACAAAAAATCATAAAAATCCTGAAAATATAATTTTTTACAAATTATAAAAAAAGAGGCAATATATTAATAGTGTATATACAATATAACATCAAAGACATTCAGGCATTCTGTTCATTTAAAAAGTCAACAAATGGCATTATTATTCAATTAAACGAAAATGATGTTTTCAAAACTAATCAGTAAGCCCACTTGACTTTGATACAAGTGCTATTAATCCAAGAAAATACCAATGCCTGACAACAGCCCAATACATAAAGAATACATGGTCAGTGTCTTAAAATATCAGCTGTATTTTTTGAGGGTGAAGAAAGAAAAGAGAGGCTCTCCACTTTTGTCTTTCTGTCCAGAGTCTAAATGCAGCTTACATTTTAAGGCACTGACCATGTATCCTATTTATTCTGTACCATTGATTGAAAATCAGACAGTTAAAACTTCAGCAGTTTTGTTGTTCAATCTTTGTTTATCTGTCATTGATGTTTCGCTGAATTTTGGCCTGATGATATATACACCAAAATAATTGCTCCATGCAGAAATGTAGTTCCAAACTTCAACGGATAAGACAGCAATTTTATGAATTTTTGTAAATAAACTTATTCAATACAACATATAAAATCACTTATCTCTGCGGTTATTTACATAATTGAATGTAATTTTAGAGTAAATTAGGAGAAAATAATTCTATTTAATTACTGCATGTACTAACATACAGCAGTGCCAGTTGCAGGATAAATATCTATATTTGGATTTCAGACCGTCAAACGCAATATCACTACCATGCAATACACCAAACATCTACTTTGTGTTAGAGGTACTTGAAATACTTGGTCCCCTCAGACTTACGTATCCCTTTCAACTTTTCAGAAATTACAAATACCAGCCATTGTTAGTCATATCTTCAGCAATACCTTGTTACAGTGATACCTGCCTCATTAGCCTTGTCAATGGCAGCTATACGAGGAGACCTCATGTCAGCATCGTACTGCTGGGTGTAGGATGGGCAACTTTCTCCCATGTTGATACGCTGGAGTGAAGACAATACATGAGTAACTGAAGAAATGTTTTTTGGACCCCTGGTCACACAAGTTTACACTTGGACATCCTTAAATTTATCATCATAAAAGATTTCTGCTGGCAGATCTTTTTTTTTTCAAACTTAACGTGCTCAGTGATTGGATGATATAAGAAATTGATAACAATTATCCAATCAGATTTGACTTAACATCATTGATATATGATACAGCTTGGAGTAAATCATAAATATTTTTGTAAATGTACATAAAATCTTAAAGAAAACTATTGAGAAATACAGGATTTACTAAAAACATTTCAGTTTCATTCTTATTGTAAAATACACTTGTAATATTGTAGACCAGGAGAAGTATTTATATCTTGCCATAATACTCATTGAAATCAATACTAAAATTACTTGACAAAATGTTTGTAATTACATTGTCCTCATATTTAGGTTTTGTGTGGATAGGAATTGGTTGCCAGGTCATGTTACTATTCCACACTTGTTCACCAGCGGGAGGATACAGTCCAGCCAGGTTACAAGCTGCACTCATCAGACATCTGTCCTCATCAGAACTTGTCACCAACATCTGACAAAACAACAAAAGGTCAAAGGTCAAGTCCACCCAACAAAAGGTCAAGACCACCCAACAAAAGGTCAAGTCCACCCAACAAAAGGTCAAGCCCACCCAACAAAAGGTCAAGACCACCCAACAAAAGGTCAAGCCCACCCAACAAAAGGTCAAGTCCACATAATAAAAGGTCAAGTCACCAAAACCAAACGTCCACATAGCAAAACATTAAATCCATGTAACAATGGAAAGGTCAAGTCATAACAAAAGGTTAAGTTGATTAAGTTTATAATGTACAGTCCACACAACAAATTGTCCACAAAAAACAACAATTAAAATTCCATACAACCAAAAGTCAGATCTACATAACCATGTCAACACCATCATACAAGATCACATCAAAATATTACTGGACATACCATGGCAGAATGAATTCCTTACAGCTATTATGAATCATTTTTGGACATAATCGATTGTAAGAAAGACCATGAATGAACATTAACAAGAAATATGTCAATAAATAAATTGTAACATGTAATGTGTTTCATTAAGGGAGATAACTCATGAAACTCCGAAGAATAAGCTCCCACTCAATTTTGCAGTCTGAACAAAGTTTTCAAAAAAAATGAAACATATATTTTCAAAGATATCAATATTATTTCCAATTAGTCTTTTTTTCAGATCCTTTCACATCATTATTATTTTCAAAAAGAACCATCAAAATGCAAAACAATTAAAAGGAAATGGTATTTGTTAAGTTATCAACCATAGCACTAAGGGAGATAATTCAAGTAGATGCCTCCGATAGGTTGTGTAAAATTGTATACAGTGTAATGATGTTTTGGTGATCACACATACCTCTGTGTTGTTGTAATTACTACTTAAGAAGCCCATGTAACGGTTCCTTATCCACTGACCCAGTTCATAATGTTGATTCATCCCAATCTGTAAAGAAAAGATTCACTGTAAAATACTGTTTATCTGGTAGTATGTGTAAAGCTGAGAGTAAAATCAGTCTTAAATACAATACTCTGGCCTCCATTTAGACTTTTCTAAGTCTAGTGGTAGAAGCTATCCACCTTCAGATGCCACTATCTCTAGACCGACACATTCAGAGGCCACTATCTCTAGACCAACACATTCAGAGGCCACTATCTCTAGACCAACACATTCAGAGGCCACTATCTCTAGACCGACACATTGAGAGGCCACTATCTCTAGACCAACACATTCAGAGGCCACTATCTCTAGACCGACACATTCAGAGGTCACTATTTCTAGACCAACACATTCAGAGGTCACTATCTCTATACCAACAGATTTAGAGGCCACTATCTCTAGACCAACACATTGAGAGGCCACTATCTCTAGACCAACACATTGAGAGGCCACTATCTCTAGACCAATAGATTAAGAGGCCACTATCTCTAGACCAACAGATTGAGAGGCCACTATCTCTATACCAATAGATTAAGAGGCCACTATCTCTAGACCAACAGATTTAGAGGCCACTATCTCTAGACCAACAGAATGAGAGGCCACTATCTCTAAACCATCACATTCAGAGGCCACTATGTCTAGACCAACAGATTGAGAGGCCACTATCTCTATACCAACAGATTAAGAGGCCACTATCTCTAGACCAACACATTCAGAGGCCACTATCTCTAGACTGACACATTGAGAGGCCACTATCTCTATACCAACGGATTAAGAGGCCACTATCTCTAGACCAACAGATTGAGAGGCCACTATCTCTAGACCGACACATTGAGAGGCCACTATCTCTAGACCAACACATTCAGAGGCCACTATCTCTAGACCAACACATTCATAGGCCACTATCTCTAGACCAACACATTCAGAGGCCACTATCTCTAGACCAACACATTCAGAGGCCACTATCTCTAGACTGACACATTCAGAGGCCACTATCTCTAGACCGACACATTCAGAGGTCACTATTTCTAGACCGACACATTCAGAGGTCACTATCTCTATACCAACAGATTTAGAGGCCACTATCTCTAGACCAACACATTCAGAGGCCACTATCTCTAGACCAACACATTGAGAGGCCACTATCTCTAGACCAACAGATTAAGAGGCCACTATCTCTAGACCAACACATTGAGAGGCCACTATCTCTAGACCAACACATTCAGAGGCCACTATCTCTAGACCAACACATTCAGAGGCCACTATCTCTAGACCAACAGATTAAGAGGCCACTATCTCTAGACCAACACATTCAGAGGCCACTATCTCTAGACCAACACATTCAGAGGCCACTATCTCTAGACCAACACATTCAGAGGCCACTATCTCTAGACCAACACATTCAGAGGCCACTATCTCTAGACCAACACATTCAGAGGCCACTATCTCTAGACCAACACATTCAGAGGCCACTATCTCTAGACCAACAGATTGAGAGGCCACTATCTCTATACCAACAGATTAACAGGCCACTATCTCTAGACCAACAGATTGAGAGGCCACTATCTCTAGACCAACAGAATGAGAGGCCACTATCTCTAGACCAACACATTCAGAGGCCACTATCTCTAGACTGACACATTGAGAGGCCACTATCTCTATACCAACAGATTAAGCGGCCACTATCTCTAGACCAACACAATGAGAGGCCACTATCTCTAGACCGACACATTCAGAGGCCACTATCTCTAGACCAACACATTGAGAGGCCACTATCTCTAGATCGACACATTGAGGGGCCACTATCTCTAGACCAACATATTGAGAGGCACTATCTCTAGACCACAAGATTGAGAGGCCACTATCTCTAGACCGACACATTGAGAGGCCACTATCTCTAGACCACCAGATTGAGAGGCCACTATCTCTATACCAACACATTCAGAGGCCACTATCTCTAGACCAACAGACATCTGAAGGCTTTTTTATTAGTTGCAACTGGTAACAACCACAATGCCCTCCACAGCAGTTAGGGTAAAGTGTCTTGACCAAGGACACAAACGCATTAGCACACACCAATCTGTCAGTTCTAACTGACAGAGCTATACATGAAATGGTTAAAATGAGGCAGCAATTCGAATATGGCAGAAATTTTCCAGAATGTAAATTTCTGTCACCAAAAACACAATATTCTTCCAAAAATAGGTCACATGTAAATACACATATACATTTTTGCATAGAAAAAAACTGTCAGGGTTGAATTAAATTGTAGTTCTAATTCAGATACATTTATTTGTATGTCTGTTCACCTGGCTATAAGAAAATAACTATCTGTGACTGTATCTACTGACCTTGGAGAGCCACCCAAAACCATTTGGCCACACATCTTTGCCGTTAGGATCTCCTTTGTATACGTCAATAGGGGATCGGTCGCCATGGCGATATACCTGATTAAAATAAAACAAAAAAAAAAACAATAAATGGAAATTAATGACAAGTACAGATCAGATTTCATAGTGATTATCAGGAACAGAGGTACTAATTCGCTTATCCAGAAAAAAATCTTTATATCTAAATGACCTACAACAATTATATGTATACAGATCTTTTTGGTATCAGCTCATGGGTGAGCATTAACCGACACGTGTTCTTATTTTCTTATTTTAGACACACTTTACCATGGAAGTGATAAATTTTGTGTGTTCCAATTCATAAAAAGTCAGATAACACAATTTTTTTAATGTACATTGTTGCATAGGTTATTGGGCCATGTACAAAAGGTGACACTGTTTTTATTGCAAATTTTAAAAGGAACTTTGTGTTTTACTTCATATTTCAAACTATTCCCTTTTGAGTTTTGAGTGACCTATCACCACTTAAAGCAGTAATTACATGTCACTCAAATGCAGGTTACAAAGTACGTTACGACCATGATACACTACACATGTACACATTACGTTGGGCTGTGCCTTAACAGATAATAAATCGGTATGTGGTTTCAATAAAACGAAACAAAAAAACATGACTATTTTTGGCATTTTCCATATTCTTGCTTTGATATGTTTATGTATTCACTCTCGACATTTCCTTGATGGGACTTACTCAATGTTTACATTGTGAGACCCAATATTGTTTTTAACAACAAAGTAGAAAAGGCTCGGGATAATCTATCACTGCTGTCATACGTGTATAAACAACATTTACATTATCCTAAACATATTTTAACACACTCTTACCATATTAACAAGTCTTAGATTTGACGTGTAATCGCCCTGACATAGTTGGACAGAGACAGTCACAAATATCCACTCGATTATCAGTCGGTCCCCGATCATCGCCACTTCGTGATCGCTTCGAATCGCTTCTTCTGAACTTTGTGACTGCGGAGATGCTAGTATTCTACGGCGTACTATTTACAGCCCGGTAAATTTCAATATAACCAGACACCGACCGGTGTAATGTGTTTTCATGGCACAGACATTTTATGATTTGGCTCTTCAGGACCGGGAGTCCCCATCCCGAGGGTCACACGGAAGAGCAGAATAAGAACACATCATATGTCTTTCGTAAATTCTGGTACTCAACGCCGGTCCCGGTCAGCATCGGTCCTGATGGGCCACCTCAGCTGTTTGAAGATCTTACCACTAAACTCGACGAAGATGTTGTCAACCAGAAACTCAGCCATTTCTATGATTGTGTCCTCCGTATATTCCTTCTTTGATTGGGACGTATATTTATTTATTATGAAATACGCTTGTATTTATACCACTGTTCACCTTTCTTGGAAAAGAAAACTCTCTTAACAAGAGAATGAAGGCGTTCGTTCGGTTTAGAATGGGGTATGGTGATGTACAGGGTGGGAAAATTAAATATTATAATAAAATTTGTTTCAGAAGAAGTGTTAAAGATTGGTCATAAGTTCTGGTGTTCTTTAAAATCTACAGTCAGAACCGAATACCGAAGCATATTAGCCAGTATTTCGTCTTTGGGAAGATTGAAAAGTTTGTTCCGAAAAAAAATTCAAGACATGTCTTGTCTTAATACATTAATACAAAACGGAAAAGTAATTGAACTGATTAAAAGAAAATCTTAATACGATTTGTTACAAACATTTCGTGTGGTGATACTTCAGGTGACTAGATAAATACGTATACATGTAGAACACAAAAACGAATTGATAACAAATTAATTTGATGAGAGCAACATTAATATTATACATGCTGCGAAGACACAATCTACACAAACTACCGAAAAACGTATAACAATGACATATTCAATACAATAGAATGTATAGTATATGTATACATATAATTGACGTAAGTACTTAAATATTTCACTCTTATTGTTTAATGGGGGGGGGGGAGAAATATATATATGTATATATTAAATTTTCATTTGTTTTGTTTTTGTTATTGTTATTATATTATCTATAATATTTATGAATAGCTTAATTACCAAATAAATAATACATAACATGTAATAGTATCTCAAATTAAGTAGATACGTATATATTACCTATACCGCCACTCCCCTTTCTTGGAGAAGAAAGCTGTTATAACAAGAGACTGAAGGCATTTCTTCAGTTTAGAATGGGGTGTGGTCGTGTACAGGGTGGAAAAAATCAATTGTTCTTATAGAAGTTTTTTTCAAAAGAGGGTGTTAAAGATTCTTCAAAAACCACATACTATTAATTTCACTCTTGAGTAAACAGTATCACATTAAGACTGTAACCCAGATTTAGTAGTTTAGACAAAGGCTTGGTTTAGCAGTTAGATGAGCCAGCTATAAAATGTTGTTTATATGGAATATTGTGAAGTTTAGGGATCCGTATAAACGAGGGAGGTTCGTATTCTTATCACTAACAGGCAATCTAAATGACGAAGTTTTACAGAAATAATTAACGAAAGAATAGAGTGAGTGCAACTAAAAGCACTCTCACTGTACACCGCGTGGGATGGCGAGTGCCATGAACTCTGTCAGGAAAAAGCGGAGACCAGTATGAAAATAAAGGGGGAAAACTTGTAAATTGTAGGAATGGAATAAACCACCGGAATTACGAACAAGCAATGGTCTCGCCGATGAGCGTCGGAGTTCTGGGGGAACTAATTGTTTGCTTGGTTTATGTGTTTTACTTTCACCAGTGTTCATTAGTGTTCAGTGGGTGTGGGGGCGTTCCCCTTTATCCCCACCTCTCGGGAGTCTTGACCCTGGGCTTCCAGACATAAAAGATGACAAATATTACACCGAATTATGGGAAGCAAGCGGTGATTTGTCAGATATTGTTGAAAGAAAACAACAAAGACATATTGTTTTTAGAAAAGAAGAACACTTTTATTGAATTTTCTCATGTTGTGTCTTTGTAGCTATTAATTTGCATTTCATAGTTAATATATGAAATGAAACACACATATGTGAAAAGCACGAAATCTGAGGTATATTCACACAACGATTGAATTTACTAGCGTATCACTCCTTCTTGAGGTATTCTGGCAACGGGCGGAAGTGCACAGTTAATATCAGCTAAACAGTTTTTCCAGTACAGTTGTCTTTCCCTGACGTAATTCGCGTTCCTGCAAGTATAGGGGGCGCAACACACACCCGTTATCTCCTGGTAACACAGAGAATCTGGAAAACGACATAAAGAAAACGAAATTGTGATATCACGGCAATGTAAAATTATGATATGATATGTAACCACAAGAATTTCATGTTTCAAACTTTTGATTATAATTGTTCCATCTGATTAGAATAACCCGAACAGCTCTTAAACCAAGTTGATTGAGAACGCAGTTTAAAAGACATTATACCTGAAAAATTAAGAAAACAAATCGGGCTTCAATGCCTCAGAGATTCAAAAAAAAACATTTACACGAGAAAAAAGGTCACCATCATAGTGAAGTAATGTATAAAAAAAAAATAAGCAGGGCCCGATCGATCGAATCTTGTACGTTAATTGTAATGTTTGCCATTTCTCGAGATGGTTTAGAAGTCACGAGTCGCAGATAAATGATATATCACATTCATTTATATGTGTTCTTGCGAGTTATGTCAGAGTCGTCAGTAAACATCACAGCAAATCAACACAATACGTCCTTAAAACATCGGATTTTCTGTTTCAGAATTGATATATACAATTTGTATTTGCGTTGGGAGACTTGATAAGATGTTGTTAAAATTGATATTTTGAATACTGTCGATATCTTTGTCTTGTTTCCAACCTGATTTCCATTGTTCGCCCAAAATTACCATCCTTTCAAATCAGTAGTTGATGTATCAGAGTTTGTAAGGTCCTGTTGCCTTCTAGGACGATATTCCAGTCATACGAGTGATAAGCTACTCAGATACTCAATGATCCATTATTTCGCTGAATAAGTGGTTAATCAATCAGAGAACTGTACAAATAACATTAGAATAACACCTCTCAATACACAAACATATTTAGGTAGAGACGAAACAACTAAACTACATCATACAGCTGTTTCGTCCTTCTAGGACTCGTCAGTTATGTTACATCATACAGCTGTTTCGTCCTTCTAGGTCTCGTCAGTCATGTTACATCATACAGCTGTTTCGTCCTTTTCGGTCTCGTCAGTCACGTTACATCATACAGTTGTTTTGTCTTTCTATGTCTCGTCAGTCATGTTACATCATACAGCCGTTTCGTCTTTTTAGGTCTCGTCAGTCATGTTACATCATACAGCTGTTTCGTCCTTTTAGGTCTCATCAGTCATGTTACATCATACAGCTGTTTCGTCATTCTAGGTCTCGTTAGTGATGGTACATCATACAGTTGTTTCGTCTTTCTAGGTCTCGTCAGTCATGTTACATCACACGACTGTTTCATCCTTGTGGGACTAATCAGTGATGTTACACAATACAACTGTTTCATCTTTCTAGGACTCGTCAGTCATGTTACATCATGCAGCTGTTTCGCCCTTCTAGGACTCGTTAGTGATGTGATCATACAGCTGTTTCGCCCTCCTAGGACTCGTCAGTCATGTCACACCATACAAAATTGCCGTACGATATTCTTGCTATTTCCTTGCAATTTCAACCTGTTTCATCCAAATTCATTCTGTTGTATGAAATGCACATATACATCTATTGTTGATGGCACATTGTTTAATTAAATTGTGGAAGGGTGGGGGGAGGGGCTTTTATAATTCGTCATAACTTGTTCCCAATTATCTTGCTTGTTTTGGAAGCAGTATGTTTAAACAATAATGAAAATCGACCGCAATTGACTGAAAGAAATGTCAAAATCTTGGCTAGGCAGGTGTTCTTGACCAATATTTAATAACTCATAATTTTTAGAAGATTTCAAGATAAAGACAGGTACTTGTGTATATTCTAAATCGTGCCACTTTTTAAATCAATGACGGCGTGACATGCAGGTTAGGGCAAACCTCGGGGGATGAAGTCCACTAGTCTGTCGTATGTATTCTCAAAGGATCCGGGACTTAAGTCCACCAGCAGAGTTAACTTCATACAATTTCAAAGAATTTTGAAAAAGACAACAGAAAGAATAATACCGTTAAGCATAAATGAAGAATTAGATATGGTGTAGCCGAATAATGAATCAAATGTCATCAGACAGTTGTTTCGCCCTCATCAAGAGCCTCCTTAAGGCTCTAAACAGTGTAAATGTTTAAGTCCATACAGCCATACATTCCTCACAATGGAAGTTGTAATGATTCTGTTGTATACTGTTTTATAAAAGATTGTTTACCTTTGTTACATCTGCAACTACATCCGTCATCCAAAGCTGTCATGTCGTTTCTGTACTCTACACAAATACCTAAAGGACCAAAAATTAAGATAAAGTGAGGTTTCTAAACAAATGATACAAATATAATGGTTTTTCATAATCTTCTGTCCGAACTTCAACTTATAAAATATTAGTATGCAAAAAAAAAAGCGATTGGCATGAAATAATTTGCCTGCTGAAATGTATGGTACCATTTTTGAGAGATGAATGTTGATGAAAATAAAATATTGATTAATTCATGTTATTTCCCCTGTTCACATTTTGAGAACGTTAAATTACTAAATTACCTAGATTTACATTGCCGGTATATTACAGAGCAGAAAACGTTAATCCTACTGTAGCAATTGATATAATTCTTCTTATACTATTTCAAGAGTTTTAATGTTCTTCTTTTGTCCGTTTTCTCTTGTATTATCAATTTTTTAAAAATTAGAATTATTTATGATTACCTGTCTGTGGTTTAAGGGTGGTATCCCCTCCTACCAGATGTCCGTCGCTACCCCTACAACACTGCCCTTGTCCACAGTCCGCACTAGACGTACAGTAGGTTCGGTAGTAATACGGCTGTACCGTGTAAATCATCACCTTTCATAGAGGCGAATGAAATACAACAAGACATGTTAATAAAATCTTAGTCCAAACTCAAAATGGTTGAGACGAGGGGAAAATATGAACAAAGAAACAATCACACGGGAAACAAGACTGGTCATTATCTCTTTTAAAGAGGAAACAAGACTGAATCTCGTTTATCAGGAGACAATGTAAAAAACATTTTTAAAAATGTTTCAATGTAGACTGAAAAAAGATAAAGAGTCGTTTATCACAATTAAAATTAAAAGGCGAAACGTGAGAACAGCGGATGACTATGTCTCATAGAAAAAAAATTATCATGAAGGAAAACGTGATAGGTCATAGCCTGTGACGGAAAAGACATGTAATTTGTGTATCCATTGTTTGATAACTGATAAACTGTATGCAATACAGAGACAGTTTGTAGGGACCATGGAAAGGATTGAAAGCTCTTTATCTCCTTCATACACCGAATAAAAGTTTTTTTTTCAAAATTACATACTTACCAGAAGTATCCCGAGCGTATTAAGCAACGCCATATTCCGTTAAACTCGTAATTGATTAAAAATAACACGGACCACAGCAGCGAGTGTTTTACATACAAAATTTTGTGCTATAATCTTCAGGTGTGCTTTCTTTGTAGCGACGAGGAAATAGGTTTGTTATTATCAAACCCTCGCCGTTGACACCTGCGCACTTACGCAGCAGACAATTTACATGTCCACCTGTAAACGTCATTTATGGTTTCAGACTGTCAGCGCGTATACTGAGATACGTCATATAAATTAGTATAAATATGTGGTCTCAGCATCGCTAGATAGCTGGAGGATTAAAGGCGTGTCCATCTATAGTACTACCTGAAGTTATGTTTAACTTGTAAATGAATCCACGCGTGCTGAAAACATGTAGTATTTGTATGTAGTTATATTAATTTGTATGCCGAGATGTACAGTAATTTGACGTAATACGACAGCGAATGAAAAATGTAATACTTTACCGTACACTGACGATTTCCGAAATAACACCTGACATGTTAACACGGTTGATAAGTTAAATCTGAATTGTCAGACAATGTCACTAAAATATTTAAAAAATAACTCTTAGAGAGAAAAGAGAAAAAAATCTCTCCTTCACACACATACCTAGGGAGTGACATGTCTCTCCTTCACATACATACCTAGGAAGTGACATATCTCTCCTTCACATACATACCTCGGGAGTGACATGTCTCTCCTCCACACATATACCTAGGAAGTGATATGTCTCTCCTTCACACACATACCTAGGAAGTGACATATCTCTCCTTCACACACATACCTAGGAGAAAGTGACATATCTCTCCTTCACACACATACCTAGGAGAAAGTGACATATCTCTCCTCCACACACATACCTAGGGAGTGATATCTTTCTCCTCCACACACATACCTAGGAGAAAGTGACATGTCTCTCCTTCACACACATACCTAGGAAGTGACATATCTCTCCTTCACACACATACCTAGGAAGTGACATATCTCTCCTTCACACACTTACCTAGGAAGTAACATATCTCTTTCACACACACATACCTAGGAAGGAACATGTCTCTCCTCCACACACATACCTAGGAAGTGACATATCTCTCCTTCACACACATACCTAGGAAGTGACATGTCTCTCCTTCACACACATACCTAGGAAGTGACATATCTCTCCTTCACACACATACCTAGGAAGTGACATATCTCTCCTTCACACACATACCTAGGAAGTGACATATCTCTCCTTCACACACATACCTAGGAAGTGACATATCTCTCCTCCACACACATACCTAGAAGAAAGTGACATGTCTCTCCTTCACACACATACCTAGGAGAAAGTGACATATCTCTCCTTCACACACATACCTGGGAGAAAGTGACATATCTCTCCTTAACACACATACCTAGGAGAAAGTGGCATATCTCTCCTCCACACACATACATAGGAAGTGACATATCTCTCCTTCAACTCCCCCGGAACGGACGTGAAAAGGTGTGGTATCATATACCCGACCACGTACTCCGCTTTTCTCCCATAGTACAGACCCCCAGCACTCTTCAATCTGGATCAAAAAGAGTTGGAATAACTTGTTTCAAAATTGTTGTAAAATTAAAAAAAAAAAAAAGAAGCTTGATTGAGAAATCTAAATACAGTATAATAAAGCGACGGATTAAATAATATGTAAAGTTGTTTCTAGGAGGGCAGTGTATCTGTGTTGTTATTAAAGAATTAAGGTTGGCTATATATCATCGAATCCGTTTTCTCGATAGCCTCGTTGTTATCGATAAACGGGTACAACATCCAACACCTAATACCAGCAGACGCATTATACCTGGAGAGTAGCACGTGATAACTTGCAATAATGTCAACAGGTATGTAAACTCTCTTACATTTTACTTCAGTCTGCACAGGTATGTTTGATTATTTTATATTCAAGAAATAATACATAATGTCGTTTTTTAAATTTTATTTATTTTACAAGTATTCTTTTCACGAACGAAACACAGAAACGTTTAGCATTCAACGAAATTAATTGGCTCGGGACAAAACACAACCTGTTCTTTTGGTTACAAACTTTTACGAAATCAAAAGTATATACATGCCGCAAAACAGTACGTTTATTTTTTATGGCATAAGACTATTTGTTATATATTACGTAATGATTTCTTTGTCAAAAATTTTCAGTTAAATGATACCATTTTATTATTTTTGTTTTCCGATGAAAATGTCCGTGTTCAGAATTTATATACACGCTGTACTTCTATGTGTTTTGAATTATGTCTTGCTTTCCTGCCTCAAACACATCTACAATTGACATTCTTTATCACCGTTAGATAATATATTGAACGAAAACGTCAAAGAGTGTGATAAATTGTTTACCTTGTAGTAACCTGGGCCATGTTACGTAATGGTTAGTTAGAGAAAATCAGTGCTTAGCAAAAAAAAAAAAATTGTTGGCACTGATAAAGATGGGGGAACGTTAAACGTAAAAAATAAGTTGAAAATATTTCAATCTGATCTTTCTCAACAAACCTATAGCTGTCAAATGATAAAATATATTCCCAGGGTTGTTTAATCAGATTTGAACATTTTCATCCACCACTTTTTTTATTCTAACCAGCCGTAGAACAACCGAGGCCAGATCGTTTGGCTAAAGTAGGTCACTGATAAGTCTTTTTCTTTCATTTTGATAAGGCGTGTTTTTTTAGAGTGTCCTATTTTACTGATATAGTGATGTATAGCAAACGGGAATGTTAAATACAAAAAGTCGAATGACATATTTGCTTTCCAATGGGCACACCAGAGAGTTACCAACATTTGTTATCAGATTTCTATGTCGGCAACGAAATAAGAATTGATATGTTACCCTTGAGACGACAATATGTTTTATACAAACGATGACTGTTCAATTTGTTGTTTGTAACTGTATACACACTTCGAGAGAATCTTATCTGACAGGAAAACACATTTCTAGGCCAAAACTACTGTAAAATTATTGCTTTTATTTTCTCATATATCTTGGGTAGGACTTTTTTCTGTCCCCGAAATCATCAATAGTAAAAACTGTTACTAAAAGATGTGGTGACGTGGTGAAGATATCAGACTGTGTATTACAGTGAGACGGACGTGGTGAAGATATCAGACTGTGTATTACAGTGTGACGGACGTGGTGAAGATATCAGACTGTGTATTACAGTGTGACGGACGTGGTGAAGATATCAGACTGTGTATTACAGTGTGACAGACGTGGTGAAGATATCAGACTGTGTATTACAGTGTGACGGACGTGGTGAAGATATCAGACTGTGTATTACAGTGTGACGGACGTGGTGAAGATATCAGACTGTGTATTACAGTGTGACGGATATCGTGGTGTGAAGATATCAGACTGTGGTGACAGTGTACGGTGTATTACAGTGACGGTGAAGATATCAGACTCAGTATGTACAGAAGATATCAGACTGTGTATTACAGTGTGACGGACGTGGTGAAGATATCAGACTGTGTATTACAGTGTGACGGACATGGTGAAGATATCAGACTGTGTATTACAGTGTGACGGACGTGGTGAAGATATCAGACTGTGTATTACAGTGTGACGGACGTGGTGAAGATATCAGACTGTGTATTACAGTGTGACGGACGTGGTGAAGATATCAGACTGTGTATTACAGTGTGACGGACGTGGTGAAGATATCAGACTCAGTATTACAGTGTGACGGACGTGGTGAAGATATCAGACTGTGTATTACAGTGTGACGGACGTGGTGAAGATATCAGACTGTGTATTACAGTGTGACGGACGTAGTGAAGATATCAGACTCATGGTCACGGACGTGGTGAAGATATCAGACTGTGTATTACAGTGTGACGGACGTGGTGAAGATATCAGACTGTGTATTACAGTGTGACGGACGTGGTGAAGATATCAGACTGTGTATTACAGTGTGATTACAGTGTGACGGACGTGGTGAAGATATCAGACTGTGTATTACAGTGTGACGGACGTGGTGAAGATATCAGACTGTGTATTACAGTGTGACGGACGTGGTGAAGATATCAGACTGTGTATTACAGTGTGACGGACGTGGTGAAGATATCAGACTCAGTATTACAGTGTGACAGACGTGGTGAAGATATCAGACTCTGTGTTACAGTGTGACGGACGTGGTGAAGATATCAGACTGTGTATTACAGTGTGACGGACGTGGTGAAGATATCAGACTGTGTATTACAGTGTGACGGACGTGGTGAAGATATCAGACTGTGTGTTACAGTGTGACGGACGTGGTGAAGATATCAGACTGTGTGTTACAGTGTGACAGACGTGGTGAAGATATCAGACTGTGTATTACAGTGTGACGGACGATATCAGACTGTGATGTGAAGATATCAGACTGTGTATTACAGTGTGACGGACGTGGTGAAGATATCAGACTGTGTATTACAGTGTGACGGACGTGGTGAAGATATCAGACTGTGTATTACAGTGTGACGAACGTGGTGAAGATATCAGACTGTGTATTACAGTGTGACGGACGTGGTGAAGATATCAGACTCAGTGTTACAGTGTGACGGACGTGGTGAAGATATCAGACTGTGTATTACAGTGTGACGGACGTGGTGAAGATATCAGACTGTGTGTTACAGTGTGACGGACGTGGTGAAGATATCAGACTGTGTGTTACAGTGTGACGGACGTGGTGAAGATATCAGACTGTGTATTACAGTGTGACGGACGTGGTGAAGATATCAGACTGTGTATTACAGTGTGACTGACGTGATGAAGATATCAGACTGTGTATTACATTTTGACGGACGTGGTGAAGATATCAGACTGTGTATTTTAATGTGACGGACGTGGTGAAGATATCAGACTCAGTGTTACAGTGTGACGGACGTGGTGAAGATATCAGACTGTGTATTACAGTGTGACGGACGTGGTGAAGATATCAGACTGTGTATTACAGTGTGACGGACGTGGTGAAGATATCAGACTGTGTATTACAGTGTGACGGACGTGGTGAAGATATCAGACTCAGTGTGACAGACGTGGTGAAGATATCAGACTGTGTATTACAGTGTGACGGACGTGGTGAAGATATCAGACTCTGTGTTACAGTGATAATGTGTTGTGCTGATGTGCAGTCGTACGTGCGGTTGTAGATTGCGTGGTTTCCACAATGTAAAACTATTAATATCTTAATTCAAGCTGACATTAATCACTATTACACTGTCTTGTAATTGTCGTACATTTTAAAATTAAACGTTTCCAGATTTTGATCTAATAGAGACATGCATAATCCTTGAACGTTGACAATGAAACAGACATTTTTGTTCATTTGTTTACAGATTAACAACATTGTAACTAAGGACAGTCAGCCATATCTGAACATTCCATTGAACCATGGAAGAATCGTTGATTGATCTATCCGAGGTATATCCCTTCATTTATATATTTATATAATGAAACCACGTGTTTATAGTAGATTTAGACGGCGATTTAGTCTGACGACAAAAAAAAAATGCTGTAGTTCCATTTGATATTATAAGATGGTTCCGTTGTTGTTGACCTTGTTCATTACCATCTTTGATTGGCCTAGATTTTCATGGCGGATGTCGTCGATGAAGCAGAAGAAAAATTCAATAAAACCAGGGCAAACAATGAACAAAAGAAAATTTTACACAGACACTCTTGAAAATATACAAAGTAAGTAAGACAGGATGTTCCAAAAGAGTAAGCGTCTTCTGCTTCATCGACGACACCCACCATGTAAATCTTAAATCAAGATTCTGTATTTTTGACAGATTTCTGTCAGAACACAAAAACAGAAAGAAAGAAATTATTCCAAAGATTTTTGTGGTATTGTAGGTTGTTGGAACCAACTTATTATCAGCCATTCGTCAACAGGATGGCAAAGAAGCCATCCGACTGCTGAGGAATAGCAACATCGACGTCACAGTAACGGATATGGTATTTAATTTTAATAGTTATTTCGACACAAAGTTTATCAAGTATTTCCACATGGTACTCTAGTATGAGAGAAAGCTTTATCACTACGAGAATAGCGATCAGGTGACCCTATGTGACCCAATCTGGGCATTGAACCCTGGTCCCGTGGTCTTATCTGATCTTATCTACTATTGTCATGAAAAGAACAGGAAACAATTTAAAAAAAACGAAAATGTTTTCGCGTGAGCATTTTACAATAATTTGAAAATTCCAGTGTATTACGTAATTTTGTGTTTTTTCAGTTATTGTTTGTTTATCTATCTAAGTGATTTTTTTTAATTCAACATCCCTATATTTACTTAAAAAAACAACAATTGACAACCTGCAAATTGTATCTGGTGATAAGAATGTCATTTAACATTTTTACCGTATGCATATTTAAATACTTTTTTGTTTAAATGTAGAATTGACGCACAAACAAAATAAAAACTTAAAATTTAACGAGTGTCATACACATTTATCATTCATTGATATTCTTTTACATCTTTTGATGTTAGATAGGAATGGGATGTTTGCATTACGCTGCTACCTCAGATCGATTCACAGACATCACCAGACAGTTGATAGTAGACAAGGGTATGGATGTCAACACCAAAGACGTGGTAGGCGTTTATAGTATACTAAGATGTCTGCGTATGGTTGACGCTTAAAGATAATGTATTGAAATCAAACGTTTCAATGAACTTTCACTGGAAAGGTGTGGTGACAACAATTAGAATAATGTTATGTCTTATTGTTTCACATTCTCTGTTTTTCCTCGGCTGGTTAGATTAATCAAACACCCTTACACAAGGCGACATCTAGTGGCGAAATAGATGTCATGGTGATGCTGGTAGCACTTGGCGGAGATTTGGCTGCTGTTGATGACGTAAGTATATGATTACGTCATACAGTTAGCGGTAATTTGAACGAGTTGAAAACCTTCAATACAATTTTATAGCATAAATTTGTTTGTATAGTGATAGTCTCTTTTAAAATCTTGCTCTTTTATTTTCATGTGAGATGTGTTTACGAAGCAACAAAATTCTGAAATGGACATTTAAACTGTGCTGTGTAAGACATGTGCTTATTACATGCACACTTTGTGAAACACTTATGTCTTTATTGTGGCAATGTTGTTTTTTTTTCTAATTTCAAATGTAGGACAAAGGGTTAAAGTCGCATGGTCAAAAACTTTGGCACCATCAGAAAGGTCTTGTCACAAGGAACACAAGGAAAGCTTAAACTCTTATGGTGAAAATGTTGTGCGTTTCGTATGTAATGGGAATCGTTTTCAGTATCAGGAAACACCTACTGAAATGTATTTATTTTCCTTTACAGTGAAAAATTGTTTTCCATTTTATAACAGGTAAACACTTTTAACACATTCGAACTATAATTAAATATTGTTTACGGTAATTTAATGTTGATTCCTTTTATTAATTACTTATTGAATTATCAATTATTACCTATATTTTGGGGATTCTTGTAGATGAATAATTTGCCATTAACACTAGCAGTGAAGGACCGTAACGTGATAGCCGCGGAAACTTTAATGCTGTTGGGATCTCCTGCCATCATGATAGAGGCACCGGCTGGTACATGTGATGGGAATGTATGTAACAACATATATGTAACAAATTATTTCGTTCTAATGCCTTCGAAAGTGCCCTCCATTGTAAAAGGGGACATTAGATTAAATTGAAATGACAAATACTGGGATACAACCAGAGTTTCCGTAATATGTTTTTATTTAATCAAACGATCTCAGTTTTACCAAAGTTTCAAGCAAAAAGGGTGCAGTTATCACAGAATTCATAAAACGAGCTGAAATTCTTTACTTCTTTTATTTGAAAGCTATATTTTTCTCATGAAATTAAAACATTAAAAAAACTTCGTTGTATTACTATAAACGTACCAAATATGGCGCAATGATATTTTCGGATATTACTATTTTTAAAATTTATTTTTGAGTGGGGGGTTCCAATCCCCAATAATTGATACTCAAGGACAACAAGGAAACTACAATTACAGAACACTCATGTTTTAGCGTGATGCTCTCTGAGGGCAAAACGCTAGAATTAAAATAAACCATTCGCTTTATAGTATATCAATTACATTACCATCTAACACGTTTATTTTAAAATCTAAGAAAGTTTTTTTATTTTTTTTTTTCTCTATTTTTATCGTTACAGCGATGGTGAAATAAATATTCACGACTCGATCTAAGGTTTTTATCATTTTGATACAACAATATGGTATTGTTTTTCTGCTACAACATTAAATACTTGCTAGGTGAAAGGTCAACAGAACACGTCAACAGTGTTGAACCTAATATTTGATTCCTTCCTTCCATATTTCAGGATGAAACTTTGTATGAAGATGAGACGTTAGAAAGTTTGGAAGCAAGTTTGATGGAGCATGAGAAAACTGTTGAGGCATTAAAATACGGGTAACCATATATATATAAAAGTTACAATCATTAGCGACCTAGGCCAAGAGGATAAGCTTATAGGAATACATAAGAATATGTAAGGAAAATATGTCAGTTGTCTACATGAAAGTAAAGGCTCAAAAGGGGGCCAAAACCAACACAATGAATTGAGAGGAAATAAAATTGTCGTAAAATATATTATTAGCACTCAGATTTCTCAGAAACATTAAATTGTGAATTGCTTTGATGTAATAGGAACATGTTTGTATAAATGATAATTGATGACTATTAAAAAGGCAGAAAAGTAGAAATTAAGGAGACAATTTGTAGATTTCTTACACAGTAATGGAGACAGAAATCAAGTTCCTCCACAGCAAACACTGTAGTGGAGTGGCAGAAACCGAGCTCCTCCACAGCAAACACTGTAGTGGAGTGGCGAAAACCATGCTCCTCCACAGCAAACACTGTAGTGGAGTGGAAGAAACCAAGTTCCTCCACAGCAAACACTGTAGTGGAGTGGCAGAAACCGAGTTCCTCCACAGCAAACACTGTAGTGGAGTGGCAGAAACCAAGCTCCTCCACAGCAAACACTGTAGTGGAGTGGCAGAAACCAAGTTCCTCCACAGAAAACACTGTAGTGGAGTGGCAGAAACCAAGCTCCTCCACAGCAAACACTGTAGGGGAGTGGAAGAAACCAAGCTCCTCCACAGCAAACACTGTAGGGGAGTGGCAGAAAAAGAATATTAAGGACAATAACTAAGACTAATTAGAGGAGCTGAAAGTAATGGCTGTGTAAAAAAAAATCGTCACCCAGGAAAAGAAAAAATATATATTTACCTTTCTGAATACATTGGGGGTTACGATTTGTTGAAAAAAAAATTCCGAAACCAAAGATAATGCTGCTTGCTCAGACCTTTGTTTTCAGCGATGCTGCCTATCGTAATGTCATCATGCATATATGTTTTCCAGGGAAATCATTCAAGGTATTCAACACACCTACTTCGGCCACATACCATTCATAGATACTTGCTCTGAATCCGATGGTGCAGAATCCATTTATGTAATGGATTTTCCGGACCTTCAAATTTCTGTGACATATACATCAACGAAACATCCATTTGTACTATATATTAGACGTGTACGGGAGGACGTCGCAGAAAGCCTGCCTGCAATTTCTAACGATGCCAGGGTATTCGGGGATATCATTGAATACAAACCCTGGTTCCTACCAAAAACCTTGGTACAAATGACCATAGCAGTTGACGGTAGCTTAAGGATGAATGAAAGTCTCGATGTTCAGTCTGAAAATGATCAACCTTTTAATGGACGAATAGAAAATGTTCTTGAAAAAGAAGGAGGATTAAATGTAAGTCTTTACAAGCATTGTCGTATAAAAAAAATAACGGAAGTCATCAAGAAAATACCAACATGTCAACATTATTATAATTCAGACCCCTAATTCAATGAAACAAAGGCAAAATATGAACAAAACAAAGATTTACAGACCCCTGGAAAAGTAAAATAAATAAATAAATAGCTGTAATGATTACTATGGAATATCATTCATATCTATTTTTCCTTTTTTTTTCAAAATAAAGGTTACAAAAGTAACGGTTGTCATGGAAATGGAAAGTGCCTCCTCTTCTCGTTTGAAGTCTTTTGTCCTAATTGCGACAGCTCGAAAAGAAACATTTGAGATAACTGAAGAGCATGCTGTTCTCAATCCGGAAATGGAACCAGATTCAGAAATTAACATACCAGAGAAAGCATTTAAAAACCCAGGCGTTATGAACATTGAGGTAGTGCAATTTAATTTTGTCTATTTCATGCACAGTATAAGATACTGGTTTATCAGTAATTTTATTTATCGATTATTCTGTGGATATTCGATAGTAAATCGATACATTTTTATCGAACATCCCAATATATACAGGTACTGGTTTAAGGTGTAATATTATTTTGAGAATATTATTGGAAATATCTTTGGTGCATATTTTTTATTAGTAAAATATTCTATTTGGACTTTCATCTTTAAGTAAAGACGGAGGATGTTATATCTTATGTGTTTGTTTTCATAATGAATAACTAATTTAGAAAATGCCTATAAACATAATAGCTCGTTCATACTTAACCCTATCTATGTTTGCTATCATTGGATAATACCTTTGTATATAAAACATATTTTAGATTATAGGTCCCTCAAAGGAACGAGGAAAGAAATTGTAAATTGTCTCGACGATCATCCCATTGTTTTCGCTCCTCATTTTGATTTTGACATTTCTTTCGATCATTTTGGAGTTTCCTACGTCGTCTCTTAAGCTTCAAAATTTAGATCCTTAGCATTACTGAAGAGTTCTAGAAGGACGAAACAGCTATATGATGTATCATTACTGGAGAGTTCTAGAAGGACGAAACAGCTGTATGATGTAGCATCACTGACGAGTCTTAGAAGGACGAAACAGCTGTACGATGTAGTCTAATTCATTCCTGGGCTCTATTGTATCTAACTTTGTATTTATATCAAAAGGTGCTATTTGTATACTATGACTTGTTAAACTATAGATGCAGTGTAAAATCGAAGGTATTTGGTATTTATTTACTTTGTTGTACTTTCCTAACACAAATAATGCTGAGGATAAATGACAGTGAACAAGTTATTTTTCATAACTTCTTAGAACAGGACTATTTTGATATTCATTTTCATTTTTGTGTTTCGTATTAAATTGAAATTGTTAGTTCGCAGACACCAGCGATGCCAATGAAGACAGAGAAAGAGACGACCCTTTATTAGTGACAAACATTATCGATATCTCTATGGAAGACAACCAACAACCTATTGCTCCCATATTAGTAAGTCCATTAATAGTTATCCAACAAGTGTCTTCTGGTTACAAATGTGTACTGGTTTGTGTCTTTGTTTAGGAATAAATCGATAAATCAACAGCTCGTTTCTTTACCGGGTTTATCGGACTCATCAACTATTTGGATCATTTGGCTCTGGGGTTGACTCAAAGTAAACAACGATTACGTCACTAATCACGATATCATCTATTGCAATACATAGTTAAATTTTCGTCCTAGGACGCAGAATCTTAAACATTGCCTTTTTATTTTGTTGATGTTTTTTATCGATGTTTAAGAAGTAAATCCTTGTGGAACAAAACATCTTTAATACATAAATCTAATACCTCATGTCATATTTATGTATCATTTATTTCATTATACTATAATGTCAGTATGATAGTTTTCTAGTGCATAACCTCCTGTTCGAAATACCAGAAACAAATTTTATCTTCAAACGCTTTAGTATTTTGACCGTCATGTTTATTTTAACAGATAAAGCTTCCGGTCACGTGTGATGAGGATGTGGATGATGTAGTAATCCTTACCAGGTCTGAAGAGACTTCCGAGGAACCAATCAGATGGACACCAACTGAAACAGCACAGGATACTTCAGGCCAGTTGACAAGTTTTCAAGTCTCGCATTTTTCGACGTAAGTGATGAAGAATGTTCTTTAAAATATTTTATTTTTAATACAAAATACATTTTGAAACTTATGTACATAGTTGTGAATGTATGAAATTTGTGCTTGGTAGGAATTGAGATAGGAAAAAAAAAGATAAATCCTAACGTGAAGTTTGGCGGTTTTATATATTCGGTATTTATAGAAAAGGGAGGTTTGGATAAAAAGCAGTGACCCTATACTTTTAATTATGAATTAATACCCAATTATTTTTCTCTCAAAGCATAAAATCTCTCAATAAAGTTAAATTTTAGAACAATGCCCTACTAAATGTAGGATTGAAGATCTTAATCTACCTATCTATGTTTTCAAAAAATAATTGTTTATATCATTTTTAGCAAAATTGCCAAATGACCTCCACAAATCCCTTGATATAATTGTATATTTGAACGAGTTATCAACAATATAACGATTTCGTGCAAATCGGGGTAAGATTTAAATAATGAAGGTAGACAGAAAGCAACTTTGTAAGGCCTCAGTATGTAGGTTATAATACCTACATTTTCCCTTTGAAGTATAAAGTTGACAGGTAGCAAATAGCCTAAATGAAAAGGCTTTTAAAAGTAAGTGTAACAAATAAGTGTAGAAACATAAAAGTAATGTGTATCGACATTTCAAAATTGAGATTTGTTTTTACATCTTTAGTTCATAATCATAGTTTTCGTTCAAATATTAAAATGAAATAAAGCAAAGCATAAACAAATTCAAGTGCTTATATCTTCAATGAAATTATCTATTGTTTTCAGTACTGATAAACTGTAAAGCGTTAAGTTATTCCTGAAAATCAAACATTTATGCTCCGTATTTGTTTTCTTTTTTGGCATCATAACAATGTTGATTTCAAGAAACATAAATATGCAATCCTTGAGTAGCGTTATAAGTAAATCAGTTATATATAGTATAGCATGAGTTTTTTACATTATGAATTATCTTTTTAAAACAGATATGTAGGGGCAAGGAGAGATATGGTGAGAAAATACTTCGACGATGTATGTGCTGCAGCTAACTGTTCTCTAAACAGGCAAAGAAAGGTTACGTTCTTCGTCATGATCAAAAACCCTAAGACGAAAACAGAGCCCTTTACTGTCGTTGTGGAATGCAGCACCAAGCGGAAAATGCAGTTAAGAATACAACACTGGATGGAAAATGGATATCAGATTAATACTCTAAACGAAACACTACAAGAGATGGTTGGCGAAAATCAAAAAGTCCGGGTAAGTTTATAAAAATAGGCGTGAAAACGGTATGTTTAGCAATATTCTGTTTATCAAAAAGATGATAAGGAACAGGTTCTTACAACATTATCGAAACCCTCTCGTCGATATGTGCCTCAAATTTATGATCATTGGCATAGACGATTAACAACGTTCTAACCTTCCTTTTCGTGGAGGTTTTATTACCAATGTATACTATAAATCAACGTATTTATATGTTTATGTATCAATAAACCATAGAAAATTTCATATGAATAGTTTGTACTGAGTGCATTTGCTGCATA